GCTATTTTTAGAACATAAACTACATGTATGTACTAGAAGGTTCTTAACTGTTTGTAGAAAACTCATGCATTATATTTAGATAGAAACTTCTGGAATGATCTTTATTGTTGAAGTTGCTAGATTATGATTACTTGAGAACATAATAGACCTTTCTGGAAACTTCTTAGTTAATATATATAAGGAGACATTTTTCATTAATCCTCTTTAAGTCATCAGTTACCTTTTTAGTCATCAGTAATCTTTTAAGTCATCAATATATTTGGAGTATTATTCAACTTGGAAATTAAGTGATTTATTGGAGCTTGGATTTTAAAATAAATTATTCTCGTGGATTTTATTGTGGGAATTTATTCTAAAGTGTTCTTGGATTTAACTTGGATTTAACTGTGCTATTGAAAAAGGATCATTCCAGGATCAGACTAAACATTTGTAATTTTTATTTGGACTTCAGGTATTTGTAAAGATAATTTGTTATTTTATTTTTCTTTAATAATTTTTCTGTAATAAATTTGTTATTGTTACAAGTTTGTTGCTGGCTTTTCTTTCTCGTTACGCCTGGCTCGTAACAATATCAAATAAGATTACATTAATAAATATGTGTGTGCCAATAGCTACACAGAATTCTAACATCACTATCAGCTGTCCGCCTTCAACACAACAATACTGCATGCAAACGACAACCACCAGTACAACAATGAATGTTACCACGGTAACCATATCTACAACCACTGAGAATATGACATCAACAACAACGACAGAACCTTCGACATCAACAACCACAACTACTACTACTATAATAACGTCAACAGATACACACAATGTAACAACAGCAGAAGACAATTCTGATGAAAAAGGTATCGATTTACTGTTGTTTTTGGGGGGTATTTTTGTCCATTGTTTGTTTCATTTCTGCCGCCACAACTACGTTGATGACATCTGTCTTTGTTCCAAATGATTACTTGGCAATGAACATCATGAAATCTGTTTTTTTTTTGTTGTATATTTTCCAGATGACTACTTGGCTGTAGTGATTGCTCTGGGAGTGTTGTCGGCCATACTGTTGATTGTTGTTATGATATTATCATGTTGCCTGTTCAGAACATGTCGTATTAAAAGCAGCAATGACATAGAAAAGGTAAATAGTACCAAATCGTATATCATAAGAAAATCCATTCGTAACTAAGCAAATAAAAAGTGTTTTATTTAATATACTATCTAGATGATCAGATATTAGCTCTTGGATTTCATATTTTCTTAAAATGTTTTTTTTTTAAATTTTCTATCAGTAATATCATTGGATAAAAAATGTATACTAAGTCTGTATTATAATTAAAGGGTTCCAGAGGGTATTGTGTGAAATATGCGTAAATATATAGTCGTCATAGTAACCTATATTTTTTAATTCTAATCTGAAAGACTTGATAGTTTCTAGTTTGAGTAGCTGATGATCGAACTCGCAACCTACGAATTGTAGTCAATCAATCAATGTTAACAATGGGTCACTACAGCTGCTCTATTTATTAAAAATAAGTTAATGTGTGTAAAGCTATTTTTCTGATACAAAACTTATTGCTTGAAATTCTTAAAAAGTATATTACCAAAATGCTTGTATTATTAATATGGTAATACATGTATATTGGCTTAAAAGCGAATGGCGCATGAACCAAATTATTTCTAAATGGATAAAACCCTTCTTAAAAGAGCAAAATAATATTTTGTTCCGGAACATTTTATTCTGTTTACGTACATTATTCATGTGCATTAAATAATAGAGACATTCTATGTTATAACTTTTTTATTCGGGAATCAATCATATAATAGTGGAACCAATATAATTTTACTGTTGATAAATTTAAAAAAAAAAATTTCATATGATGTAGATTTATACCCTTTAAGCAATTTAAATAGAAAAACGATTTCCTTCTTGAAATTTAACGTGTTTAATTAGGAAGATGGCCATTATATATTGCTCGTTTTGTTAAAGTAATCAAGTTTTGGTGTAAAACAATCCAAACTGATAATATAATTATGAAAAAAGTTTATGAACAAAGTGTTATTGATTGTGAACATGGATATAATAACTGGGTCTCAAATGTTAAACGATTATTGTATACATTTGGCTTTGCTGATTGTTTTATAAATAGTGATAATGTTGATGGTAAATTATTTCCTAGAATATTTAAACAAAGACTTATTGATAATTATTTACAAGATTGGCATGGTAATATTGAAAATAATAATGTTTTAGATCTATATAAAAATTGCAAAACTAATTTATCGTATGAAATTTACCTCGACCTTTTACCACGTAGTTTAAGAATGTATATTACCAAAATAAGACTATCAGCCCATTCTCTCAGAATACAAACTGGTAGATATAGTAGACATAGATTACCACGAAACGAGAGATATTGTCAGTGCTGTAATACCCTTGATATCGAAGATGAATATCATTTTGTTCTGGTTTGTCCTTGTTATAATAATATTCGTAAGACATATATAAAAAAATATTTTTATGTTAGACCATCGATGTTCAAATTTATTCAGTTATTGCAAACTTCAAACTAGCTTTTATTGATGAATTTAGCAAGATACATTAAAGAAAGTTTGGCAATAAGAAATACTCTCTTAAATATTTGATTTTTTAACATCCTCTTGGAAAATATTTTTTTACAATTCTCATATATTATAACATCATGTTTGTTTGTGTAATCATGCATTGTTCTTAAATAATAAAGGTATTTTCTCTTATTTGATACATTATCATATGATATGTGTGTGTTAACATGTATAACTTTTAATGATACTGTTCTCTATCTAGAAAGAATTAAACTGCTCAATAAGTATTTAGTTTTGCTGCTGGTTAACATCTATCCTTCGCCTTTATCGGGAGGGAGTTTTACTTTCAGTGGGATGGTTAGACTCACTGGGTAAAATATGGTATACAATATCCTGTGAGGTTGCCAGTAGAATTTCTATTACTGCTATGATTGAGAAAATATTTACTTATTACTCATAACACTGTACATTCTATTATATATTCTAAGTATCACATTGTACTTTGTGTTACCATGATCACGTGACGTGATAATTGTTTTATTTATCTATATGCATGACGATGTACTATGTACAAGTCTAAATAAAACGATGTTCTGTTCTGTTCTGTTTAATAATTTTAAGGCAATATAACTGGCTTACTCCTATTGAATTTAAAATGACTTAATCCGTTAATGCACTAAGGTGACAATACGATCAATTACCATTGTACCGTTTAATGTTTCTGAATAAAAAACATTACATATTTACAATTTACTTTCTATTAAAGGTAATTTAAATGGTTAAGCAATGAAAATAAGGAGAAAGGGTTGTAATTTGAAACTGCATGTTGAATGCACATACATATATATTTTTTAAATTCCATCTAAATTTAATCGAACAAATTTAATCGGAGTCCATAAATAATTTAAAGTATTCTTCCTCATTCCACGATCATAATTTTATTTAATCGATGTCGTCTGCGTGAGCGTTCATTAGCCACTGCTTTACTTCCTAGTCACAAGTATTGATTTCTTTAATCTATATCTATTAATCTTTAATGTTTATGTTATTCTTTATTTTATCAAATCTACACGCAGCAATGCTTTTTACAATACTGGTTAATCTAAAAGGGAAGTAAAGTTTGTATTACACGAAAAATATCACACATGGAGTTGTCAATCCTTGTTTTGTAAACAGAGCAACAACCATAAGTAGAAAGGAATATAAATTTGTTGTTGTTTTTTGAGAAATAAAAGTGTGCTTTAACCCCATTATAGGTTCCCGCGGAGAATAAACCATCCCTGCAACAGCCAGTCATGGTATCCGTACCAGAACTGCCCGCTCGTCCAACTTTCAAAGACTTTGCGTGCCAGGTACAACTACACCCTGCTATGGAAACAAAAGATCTGACTGAACCTAACGTCAATTCTGAAATAAACGAAATTCGTATTTCGAGGGCTGAGATAGGCTGCCAAGTAACCTTAACGGAATCAGACATATTAACTGATTTAATGATGTCTGAAGAAAAGTCAACTCAAACTGAAGTACCACCATTAAAGAATAAAGATAAAGGTGTATCAACTGAAGCAATTATAAAGTATAATGAACAATGTCAAACAGACATGATTAAGACAAAATGTCAGAAGAGTCAAGCAAATATCAAAACAAAGAAAAATGTTCAAACTACAAGCAGTCAGACTGATACTATCCATCGAGAAGATACAAAACAAGAAGAAGTTAAACAATCCACAATTGTCCCTGACAAAACACCAATCAAGCCTGTGGCTAATGGAAATATTCAAGCATTTGTAGATGAAGATGAAGAGGCTGCAATCAAATTGGAAAATGAAATTATCAGCAAACATAAGCACAAAAGGAAGACAAGGAAAAAGAAAAAGATTCCAAAAAGTGACGATGTACGTGACATTCGTAATATATCTCCTGATACTCTAGATATAACCAGTGTAGATACAATCAAAGACTCTCCTGCAATTAGAAGATTTTTGTTTACACCGGAAAAGGAAGTAAATAAACCGGAACCGGAAATGTCTCAACCAGAAACGGTTGCAGACAATTATCAAAACGATAATACTGATAATGAAAGTCCGGATACGTATAGTAAGGAAGTTCGCCCAATTCATGTAAGGCCATTTAGCCCAACGGTTGGGAAGGAGATTAAACATGTTTATAAAGTCCGTAGCGTGATGGCTAGTGCTTTCTTTACTCAAGAAAAGAATGAGGAAAAGCTGCTACATATGATAAGACGTCAATCCAAAAAAAAAAAAAAAAAAAAAAAAAAAAAAAATTGAAAGAAACGAGTAAAGAAACGAAAAGATTCACATTGCTAAAACATGATATCATAGCAGTATCATACAAACTACATTGCACGTACTACACATAAACAGAATATCAAATATGGGCATTTTATTCATAAACATATCGTTTTATTTATCAAAATGATTTCGGATTTATGATTCGTGGTCAATTTTGTAAAATGACAAACGTATATTGAGATGCACATCATGCATGTATTTTCACTTGTTTAACTATGTTGTTTTGTATTTGGTATCGAAATTAAGCTGTTATTTTAGTGAAGAATATAAACGAAGGTTATGAAAAATGCTTAAGCGTTATCAAACAAAAAAATGTTCCCAATCGATATATCAATATTAGGGTTTTTGATTGTTGTTGATTGTTTTTCTGTTTGCATGCACACATTAAACATGACCTTTCATTAAATAAGTTCAACAAAAAGAACAGCTTATAAATTTACGTCAAATGTATACATCGTCTGTATTTATTTTTTCCCCCCTGAAATTATGAGGAAGTCATTGTGTAAATAAAGAGTCAACCATGATGGACAGAAAGGGGAAACACCCTTATCGATGTGAGGTTTGGAAAAGAAACATTAGACAGAGGAAACAATGTGGATATAGGCAGGTATTTCCAGTGGTAGTTAGCAAAAAGATCCATGTTATGATACCAATAGACAAAATGTATGATTTACGATTTCCTACGATATAATGGGTGATGGCATTGTATCTTCACGGATTCAACTTCATAAATTCACGATTTCAGTTTCAAAAAAAAAAGCGTTGATTTTTGTCGTCGTCTCTTTGGTCACTATACCTGGTGAAATTTAATAGGTATATTCTGATGAAAGACAAAGAAATTAACACTATCAAACACGTAAAGAAAACGCTGTTAATTCTACTTCCTGAATATTGTCGGTAATGAATAAAAATGAAAAACTGTAAATGTCATGTAAATGTTATGGTTCCACAGTGTTAGCTGCTCTGTAAAACTTATTTTTAAAAATATCAATAGAAATGATGAATGATTTTGTTTAGATTGTAAGTTGGACAAGTCCTTTTAAGATATTTAGCGTGATAATGGTTAAGGGGAATAATGCAAGTTTTAATTTTATGTTTTTCAATAGGATATTGATAACTTAAATAAGATTTGAGTCATATGACATTAAAACTGAGTTAGAAATTGCATTTCGGTCGGTTCCCTAACTATACATTGAAACATATTGCAATAAGATTATCTTGACGTCATGTCTAACAAAATAAATGTCATTTGGTGTCAGTTTTGTTGGTTAACGTTTACAATTACATTTTTATACGCTTCATTATATAATTAAACGGTTTTGTGACTGATACCAAATTCTTCGTCATTAATAGTATTAAAATCTACTTAATAATGTAAATTTGTTTACGAAATAATATTTTGTTGGTATACTTCAATAAATCCTAACACACTCGCAATAACAAAAAAAAATTAAATGGCCTCAACTCTTCTTTTCATTTTCAAATTAATACCATTAATACAATACATAAATAATTCTCAGTTTACGGATGTTTCAAAAAAGATTCAACCGTACTTATCAATACATATCAAGTTTCAAAATGTGACAGTCAAGAATACAAACTACTGTACGGTTCACTTTGAAACTTGAGTTCAGGTTTTGGCAGAAACCATTTCTTTTTTGAGTTTGCTTTTATTTTTAGTGTTTTTCTTGCCATAATTTTTCTAAACGACTTCGCCATTTTAATATCAGAATTGGTGATACATTTATTTGATATCATCTTATCTTAACATTTATTTAAGTGAAATTTATAATTGTTATAACTAAAGAAATGAATCACCATTCCACAGACACTAGTGTTTGTAATTTTTATTACAAATAAGGCGAACTGACATTTATGTTAAAATCAGTAAATAAACGAATATCTATTTATCAAAAACATTGTTTTACATGTACAATTATAACTAAACATGTTGTTAAAATAAAGCTTCAATTTATCAAATAAAATTGTATCCCCTAATTCTAATGCTTTAATATGTCCATCGATTTGAAAAAATACTGCTCAAGTTTCATAAAACATCGCAAAAATGACACATTTTTTGCCCATCTACAGTTAAGTTTTTGGTGTATCTTTACAAAAAATAGACATAAAATTGCATGTTAATATTTGAAACAAACTATTTTAGGCTGTATTTTAAAATAATGAATTTACAATAACAATTTAATATTGGATAATAGAAATTTTGAGAAGGTGACAAAGGGCAATACAATTAGGTTAACAAAATTTGAAATGTTCTTTGTTATATAAGCGTTCACAAAAGAATGTCCAAATATTGTTTTATTTGTTAACATACGTATATACAGTTAAACTATGCCAGCATTCATTTCTATATCGTATTTGTTCTTGAATGATTTGTTCATATTCTTTGCTAAGTGTTATATGGATGTGCCGAACTGTAACAACGCTTTACGCATTATTTACAATAGCGAATAGCTAATGATGGACACACCATTTCTGAATGAGAGAGGCACTGTAAAGGATACGGTATCATCATTGAAAAAACACATCTTACACTCCTTGCATTCATAATCGCAGGTTGGTATGAGTAATCAGAAAAGTCGGGATAAACGTTAAACAATGTGACAGTTTGGAATTATCTATACCAATCTAAAAGAAATAGTTCACACTCCCTACTAAATGTTGAACAATATCTCTTGTTTTTGTCTAAATAAATGATCGTTGATAATCATGATTTGGTTGTATGAATAGAACACTCGTCAATGGCAATGTTTTGTTTTAAGAGATTGTTGTTCTGATCCAACATTAATTTTAATAGAAAGAATTCTTCAATATATCTAATATTTATGTTCAATACATTGGTAATTGAGGTGCTATTTTATCTAGTTCAGATAACGCGTACTAAATGTCTATTGGTGTGCATTTTATTTTACGCCTGTTTTTATTTTTTACTTAATTTTACCTTTATTAGTTGAAGGCCTATTCTAATTGTAAAAACAAAGACATTTGCATCGAATGTTAATGAAAATTCATTAAAAAATAAAAACGATATAAAGTTAATTTGCATTGTTATGGAGCACGGCTTTCATAGGGACATAGAAGTGTTATTTGTTTATGATTTTATTTGATCATCACACAGTCGTTTTATAATATATTTTGACCCGTGATCAAATGCCTCTCCCTCAAACGTTTTTACTGGGACTTAATGTTCCACTTTTCTATTATTATTTTTTTTCGGTAATCGGGAAAAGTTGTGTTTATTTTTAAATCAAGAAGAATTTTGATACAGCGGAAAAAAACACACAAAAGTCACTACACTCTTTTAATCTCCTGAGTCAAAATAGGCGAGGCATAGCGATTGAGATTATAATAGGACGTCCTACTTTTACGACTATTAACGAATCTTAGTACTTCCCACTGCTTACAATAATGTTTTATAACGTTCGATCGTATAACGAGCATAATACTCTTTATAACTAATTTTTATTCTTGCTAAAAAACCTTAACAATAGGTAATGATACAATGACTCCTGTAGAAAAAGACATTACGAATGAAACAAACAAACAAAATATAAGGAATGCTTATTATCACTTTTTATATCTAAAAGTGACATAAGGATACATGTACATGTATATATATATATGCAATGTGGCTTTATTTAATCATGCCAATTAATAACTGTTACAAAATAACGTCATGTTTAATAAAATGTAATTTAGTACTATAGTAAAAACGGTTTCCATCATCGTACTGTCATAATAGCATTGTTTACCTTTTTGAGTATTATTTGTTTCTTTTTACTTTTGATGAATTAAGAACTGCTTCCAATGTTGTCTTCAAGCTTTCCGTTTGTGCCATTTGAGGCCTTCTTCGTGTAGTAGGGTTAACAATTCGCAAACTATCAACTGTGTTTTCAACATCAGAATTATCATTGTACGCATCATTTCTCACTATATCATTGTTTTTGTCTGTAGAAGCATTTGTTTTTACTGACCCTTTCTTTTTCGTCTTTTTCTAGATAAATTATTCATCGCTTTAGATCTTGTTAAACCATGGCCATTATTTATCATCGTCGAGTACCTGTTTTCATCATAATTGTCAATTATACAAAGCAGATATTTTATGTCTCTTTCCAATAAACTAAATGATTCACTCTTGAGTTGTGCATGATGTCGGTGTCTTAAACTGAAATGTGTCGGAATAATCTTATTACGTCTCTTTTTTTATGCCCACACCTTTAAGAAAACTTAGTTGTTTTACTCATGAGAAAGGCATCGGTTTTCATGACCTAACGGTTTCATGTCATTATCGTAATCATTTGCATTCGCTGCTATATGAATCGTGATAAGGTTTTGGATACGATCTTTCTTGTGTGGTGGTTGGAGAGTTCTTATATCTTAAATGAGTTTTATGTGAGCTACTTCTTTTCTTGCTTCCGTTATATTTAGTTGTAATCTCTGGTCTGGATCCACCTACACTGAAAGGTGCTTCATTCCGAATAGGGGCCGTCTGTGCCCTTTTTCTTTTGGTCTCACATTTATGTCTATTTTACTATTACAGTGCTATGCCCAGGTAATATTTCGGACGCAATTGTTGCACTCAGCGGTTCGGTGTTAGTGTTCGGATTTTGAGCAAGAGAATCATCCTTAAAAACCTGAGTTTCATTTTACTGCCTTGTTATCAGCTTTGCCCTTTGACGAGTGCATAGTAGCTCTAGATGATAATTTTGTCATTTTTTCTTTTTCTATTCTACCGGCTTCTCCCACACTTGTTATACTCTCTAAAGCATAAACAAATCATGTATTGACGTTTGTAATTTTCTAATCATTTTTTCTCGCTTTTAACATTTGAGCCGAGTCGCGACAAAACCAACATAATGCGCAGTCTGATCAGGATCCATGCTGTTCGCTTACAAACCCTATAACAAGTAAAGAAACTGATAGCGAACAGCATGGATCCTGATCAGACTGCGCGGATCCGCAGGCTGGTCTGGATCCATGCTGGTCGCAAACCCATTATGTTGGTTTTGTCGTGACGCGGCTCATTTCTATTTTTGTTTTAAGATTATCAAACCTTTCGCAAGTCTTCTGATATTGATACTGTGTTTGTAAACATTCCTTTTTAATTCACGTGCTCTTTAGTTACCGTAGGCTTCTGTATTTAATTGTCTGTGATTTATTTAAAAAGTTTTTAGAGATCACTTAATATATGTACACGTAGCCTTATAAAATAAATATTACCAAATCTTCTCAATCTATAAATCTTTGATTTATCGTGCTTTATTTGCATTTGTGTACAAAAAATAACTTCAGGAAAACAAGCATTGTTTTGTTGTCAATGTACTCAAGTTTTATTTAGTTTAAGTTGTGTGCGCTACATTATATATGTGCCTGGGTTAAAGATATGGCATTCATTTTACCAACAATTTATTTATTTATTACGCGTTTGTGTGATATTATACATGAATACATGGAGCCGTTCTATTTTATTTTCTGATAAGATATATTACATTTTGATCAACCCTCTGTATGTGATAACAATAAAACAAATCTCCTTAACAGTTGCGTGAAGATTTCAATGCTAACCGTTAGTGTTTTTATTCAAATTAAAAATGATATGATTGTTTAAAACTTAATATGACGAAATTAAACTTTCTAGCGATAATATGTGTTTCAATTGGCGCTTTTATAGCACAAGGTAAGTTTGTTGTTTAATTGTTGATATGAAATTATTAAATTATAAAATATTGATATCAATAAGAGTTTAATAATACGAGAGAGTAGTGGCTTAATGTGATCTAAAAGACCCCCAAAATAAAAAATTACACGAGGGATTATAAAGCTCATAATGATACGAAACTTTGACTAATATTGGTGATGTTCTTGAAGTTTACCATGAAACATCATAGATTGGTGTTAAAGAAATATTCCGTAATTCGAACAACCCGATCGTAAGTTGAGAAACCAGTCGATGATCATTTTCAAAAATTTGCCAGTGTTTTATTGTAAAGCTGATTTAAATAGACAATATAAAAAGCCCAAAAACTTTAATTGTTGTCCACAGATATTTTTGGCATTATAAGAAACGGCTAAACATTTGAGGTAGACTGGTTTAAAACATTCTTTCTAGCCTTACAACCGTCCTGACACAAGTATTATTATAATAAATTCTAAAAACCCTCGTGATTTTCAAGTGCAAATAAATACTGGTTAGGGACTGCTACATGTATATGCAACTGTTTTATTTGTCCTTGCGATAAGATAGTTAACAAAGCCTTTTAGGAAGCAATAACAACGCATTCTATTGATATTTTCCATTCTTATTATGTTTTCTTTCCATATGATGCTATAATAACATCTCAAATACACTAATGCCACAGGTTTTATTAATATCAGTTGAAAAATTTATAATTCATTTTTTTTATTGACGATGCACATCGCCGTGTTCGGCGTACATAAATATAATAATGATGTAAAATCATTATATTGAGAAAATATTGATGAAATTAAATGTGTATTTTATTTTCCGTACTTTCACTGTAAAATTTATTTTTCACTTCAGTGAAACATACTTTCCGTATTTTCACAGATGTCTTGCCTGACTACTTTCTTCTAAATTCTGCCAGTACACACAATTTATAGGAAAGTCTCTCAAATTGCAAATTATAAAAAGAGAAAAATGTATATAATAAACAGAAAATTCAAGTTTTTTTTTTATCTTTTGGTATCAAACACCGGCTGCCGAAATTTCTAACTCTCGGGTAAATGTTCAGCTGAAACTCGGCTGAGGGCCGCGATACTACCGTATGTAAACAGTTACGCGAGAGCTAGATATTCCGGTCTATTACGGCAGCCGGTGTTTGATTCTTTATCTTGAATACTACGCAGAAAAATCATTTCGGAAAGAACTAAGATTTCCATTGATAGTAGCGTTTGAATTTACAACTTCATTCATAACGTCAAAAGGACGTCATTCTAAGAACGAAAATCATTCATAAAAGGCGCGCGGGAATGACGTCATTTAAAACACGCGACTTGTCTTGCGCGGATTACAATTAAGGATGTTACACCGGCTGCCGGTAAAGATGGGAATATCTAGCTCGAGGGTAACTGTTTACGGCGTTCACGAGGCCGTGCCAAGTTTCAAAATTTTGCAAAAATAACGTCGAATCTGCGCTAAGCTATTGAGATAGAGTACTAGAGTCATGTCAATACTAAAAGGAAGCAAGTAAAATATTATTCGCAAATATTCGAGTAGAAATACCTTTTATGAGGTAGCAACGTTTTTTCCAATTATTTGTAACGAAGTCGGCGATATGCATTAGCTCAACAGGTAGCGTCCGGCCGTGGTTAGCCCAATAGGTAGTGCTTTTTAAATTTGTCTTTTGACGTCTTGTCAAAAGATGTGCAGGCTTCATAACCTCAGATCCCCTTTCAAAATTCCATTTTATTTAGCTCCGCCCATTGTTTTCTCGTTTAGGGCACACGCATTATTTTACTGGGGGACCATTCGCCGCTTCTCATGACATGACACTTCTGTGTCACATTGAAGGTTCCACCGTATGGACACATCAGCGTATGTTTCTAAATTCAAATTTCACCATTTTGTGTTAAAATGTTGAATTCTGCTTAAGCCGGAGCTTGGGGGACGTGGACGGTATCTAGCACTTTTCCATTACCTTCCATGAACATGCTCAATCAAACCGAGCGTGCAACATTTAACAATTTTGTTGTGTTGGGCTTTCTTTAGGGGTTCTGTTTTTCTTCATTTTATATACTACGTTTATACTCAAATTTGATGTTTTATCGTTGATCATCAGGATATGATTAATTAATGTTCAAGGCGTAATGATTAACCATTACGAGAAACATTACGGTTAAAACCATAACGTTCCTGGCACATTTCGATAATGACTGAAACGTACCCGTACTGTTACAGTATAAAACACTCAACGAAAAGAATATCTCGATGAAGACTGCATAATAATCCAATGCAAAAATGGGTAATATAGAGGAGAGTCAGGAGGGTAGAATCACATTTCGATTTTCGTTTAAAAAAGTTTGAAGTTTATAAAACTGCTTAAAAGTTGAAAACCTACCATACGATTGACCTTATTAAACATTCACATCTGGTGTTAAACTTCACATCTAGATGAGCGGAAATTCACATATCCTTTTTACTGATGCTCAATTTTGCGATCCATATGGACCTCCAACCCCGCAAATAAGGGGAATCTCCCGAATTCACCTAAAACATCATTATTTTGAGTCTGTGATTTCACAACTAATATGGTTTTGCAAAATTTATTTTAATCTTATCAACCTCTTTGGGAGAATATATTCCTCATACATCTAGTGAATGAAGCAAAATTGATACAGCTAGGGAATCAAACAGTTTTAGCTTCGTTATTATATCGACATGTATTCTTGTAAAAAGACTTAACAAATTGTACAATGCCTTTAATGCATTATCAGAAAGAATCTAAGCTGTTTTAGCAATGTTACCATTTGAAACAGAAGTCACTTTAAAACTATAAGTCGATAAAATAATGCATGGGTACAAGATACAAGATACAAGAAACTTTATTTTCAGTCGGTTTACAAATTACAGGAAACATAAGCATCTATAGGCATGAAATAATAGTAGCAAGATTGAGAAGAACTGTACAATAAGATGACAAATTAAATCAAAGTATAATTACATGCACAGTACATATTGTATTAAAGGGACTAACAGTTTACAGTGTGCGTGCACGCATATTATTGACAACAGAATCTGTTTCTTTTTTATCATGTTTTGATATAACTACGTTTATTTACAGTGACCTGCCAGCCATCGAATCTTCAAATCATACAGTCACCATCGGCATGTTCCGGAACGTCGTCAGATCCTGATAAAGTCTTCGTCAATGCTTCCTGTGGTAATGGTCATGTCGTTGCCATCAAACATGTAACAGTGGGTTCCAAATTACAATCTACAGGTTGTCCTAGATACTACGACGATATGCACAACTTTTCTGTTTGCTGTACATATGACCAAGCAAATGACTGTCTGTTCCCATTTTATTTCGAAACTTTAACTTATCATGAAGGCTGTAACGGACGACAGAATTGTTACTTGGGAGTACAGAATCAAAATACTGACGCGAGTTGTACAGGAAATCTTACTACTTTAAGTCGTTACATGTTCATTGATTACTACTGCATAGAGGGTAAGATTATATAACGATATTTTTCATACGTTTAAATTATCTCGTGACAAGTATTTTAAACATAAATTGACAGTACTTACAACCAAAGATTTTTAATCTCCGTAATACATGCATTAATCCCTTATCAGATTAGTGGATGCAATAATAATTTCACCACAACATATTTGTTAACAAAAGAGCACATGTTCATGTTTGTGGTTAAATCTATTGCTATTCAAATGGAAAGTCAGAGTAGGGATCTATCAATTCCTACTCGTTTTAGGAAAACAAGTTTCCTAAACCCTTGGCATACAAAATTTCTTTCAATTAAAATTGGACAAAACCTTTTATTGTTTTAAGGGGAAACATCATATATGTAATAAGTACTGATTGGATATGGTAGAGTAGAGACCATGTCCAGACTGCACTGATCGCATGGATAGAATCTGTGAATGATAGGAAACTAAGGATAAATAGTTTAATTTGATTTATGCACCTTTAAAATGTACTATAGATGTCTGGCCCTCTTATTTCTGATTGGCTGTAATAGCTTTAGAGTAAAACATCTCATCAACAACACTGTTTTTGATAAATCAAGACGCATATTTGGCATGTGCTTGTGAATATAGTCATACGTGTTCTGTTTTCCATACGAATTATATTTACTTCAATCACTACATTCTAGTGACGGAACAAATTAAGAACAATTGATCAAACTTAAATTAACATTGGAAGATACTTCTTTCACAGCACTTGCGTTGTTAATGTATTTTTGGACAACACACAATATTGGGTCAGACCCTGACCCCTACTTAATCCACCTTGGTCAACTCTCGGTAACATACAAGTTTGTAATCTGTCGATCATAAACTTAGTTGTTGTTTTTTTCACACGAACTAAAAACAACATTTACAACCAAATCTTAATTCAGTATTTTAATGAAACTTAATTGTAAAGCACTATTTAGATGGAAATTGAATTGAAATACATTTTTAACATTGACACTGATGCTACCTACATTCGTGTTACAATGTTAACAGTTACTTAGAGTTGATAAGGGCCTTGTTAGGTGGAGTTAGGGTCTAACCCCTGAGTGTGCATGGAACTGTTTTTTTCTCCGAAGAAATGGCAAAGTGTGCCATCCACCCAGCATCCCTAACATGAAGAACTTGCGATTCGCACTGAGTATCCCCGGTGTACGGGCTGTTCGTGGCCGTCTGAGAGCCCGACCGTTTTGCTTTCTCACTCGGTACTATGTCGTTTTTCGGGAGAGATCTTCTGTCATGGATATATGATTTCATTGAAATCTAGTGCGGAAAGAAAAAATTTTGGAAATTGATGCTTTTGAAATATGTTCCTGTGATTATATAATGATATTTATTGTATTCATAGATCAATGTAAATTTCTTATTTTGTCTTCCTTTTGCATAAAACTTGCAGACGATAAAATGTTAGAGTTGTGTTCCGCCACGACATCTACAATAACAAGAGAGAACACTACAGTCTACATTTGGAACAAAGATTTTGAGGTTTCGTCCATCAGTCCGTCTGACCCAAGCTGCAACTGTTCCGTGGAGATAGACAACTGTGATGCTTATATTGATATCTATAAAATGTACAGCATATTAACGGGAAACGGGTAATATCGAAACTATAATTCTGAAGGAAATGATATACATGTTCTTTATGTCACGGTTCAGAACTGTTCACAATTTAGGGGAGAAGATGTGTAATCGGCCGGATAGCTCAGTCGGTAGAGCCGCGGAACGGTATTCCGAGGGTCCCGGGTTCGAGTCCCGGTCAGGCTGCACATTTTTCTCACCTTGTGACATTTGGCGCCCAACGTGGGGCCGTGACTGAATATAGCTCAGAGTTTAATTCACATTGCTCTGTAACTCTGTGAATTTCGAGGACAAATTTCAATATAGCAGGGGAGTATGTCACGGTTCAGAACTGTTCACTATATAGGGGGAGAGGATGTGTAAGCGGCCGGATAGCTCAGTCGGCAGAGCCGCGGTACGGTATTCCGAGGTCCCGGGTTCGAGTCTCGGTCAGGCTGCACATTTTTCTCACCTTGTGACATTTACCACTTTAAATAAGCTAGATTTCATATGGTGGGTGGCTTCAGCATGCTTCCGTTTATACTAAATATACTGAAACTATGGTCTGTGGTCCTGCTTAATCAATAAAAATCATAATTCTTTTTTTTTAATTTTGTTTGTTTGTTTGTTTTGTTGAACTTTGAGTCACACCGAAATTGTTAAAGTCATTCGGCGACAATGATGAAAGACATCAGGTGTCCCTGAATTCGTTCAGGAACGAGCAGGCTAAAAAGTGAAAAAGTGATCTTTACAATTTTTATGTGTCTTCAAACTCAAAACAAATACCGATTCGTAAGTTAATAAAACTGCATATCATAACAATAACATGTTTGTATGCGTTCGTTCTCTCGAATTTGACCATCAAAATCAGAGCTTATACGACAAATAACTTCTTTCAGAAATGGGGCGTGCAATCAAACTGTTCGGATTGGAAGTGGTGAAAATAGTACTATCCTTTATGAGTGGACATGTAGTGATAACAAACAAGATATAGAAAACTTCCAAGCACAGGTTACTTATATACTGCTTAACCTAGAAAATACCCGTAATGATAGCGACGGCAAGGTCTGGATGGGGTTTAAAGGTTTCCGTTTATTATATTTTTAATCTTAAATGCAAAGGGTTTTTTAATTTAATATTATTTTTTGTAAACAACCAAGTTAAGGGGTAAAAGCTATATCTGTTTAAGTATTTTATTGTTGTTATATTTTTCTGGTTGTTATATTTTTCTGGTCCTTTGGGATCATTGATGCCAGCACTGTTAAGTATTGAGAATTGAGTACCGCTCAAGCCGGTGCTAGGGGGCGTGAGGGGTGTTTCACGTATTCATTATCCCTCATGTACAGACTCAATCAAACTGAGTCTGCAATTCTCTTGTAATTTTGTTGTGTTTAATGATTCAGAGGGATCACTTTATTTCAAGATTTTTATACTTCACAACAGCAGGTGTTAAGTGCTGTGTGGCAGCTGTAAAAAGTTGCCCTGTACTTCACTTCAGAGTTGTTATATTTTTCTGGTCCTTCAGGATCATTGATGCCAGCACTATTAAGTGTTGAGAATTGAGTACCGCTCAAGCCGGTGCTCGGGGGCGTGAGGGATGTTGCACGTATTCATTACCCCTCATGTACAGACTCAATCAAACCGAGTCTGCAATTCTCTTGTAATATTGTTGTGATTAATGCTTCCGAGGGATCACTTTGTTTCCAGATTTTTTTTACATAGACTTTTATGAACACATCTGCGGATGTTTCTAAATTCAAAATTTCACCATTGTCATGTTAAATGTTGAATTCTGCTTAAGCCGGTGCTAGGGGGCGTGGACGATAACTTGCACTTTCCAGTACCGTCCATGAACAGGCTCAATCAAACCGAGCCTGCAACATTTTCAATTTTGTCGTGTTGGGCTTTCTTTAGTGATTCTGTATTTCTCTATTTCTATTTGTTTGTTACATACAATTTCAAGTAGCGTTTTAACTATTTATTTTGGGTATAAAAGGGGCGTCCGTATGAAAGGTCGTTGGTTAAGGCCCTGTCACACCAGACTGCGCTTTCACTGCGTTTGCACGGCGTTGTAAAATTTAACAAAGCGCCGCGAGATCGCAATGAAAAATCTAATATTTTTGATGACATGAAGACTTCATGGAGTCTTCACGGCGTCCCCACGGCAATCATGGCGATGCTACGGAGCTTCCACGGCGTTTTAATTGACGATTGTCTTCGTTCAGATCGCGCTTCTACGACGTTCTTTGCGCTTTCACTGCGCTTTTACGGCGCTTATACGGCGCCCTTACGGCATTCACACTGCGCTGAAATCGTAAAGCTCTGTAAAAGCGCCGTGCACACGCAGTATAAGCGCGGTAAGGACGCCGCACAAACTCCGTACAAGCGCCGTGGATAACCACCGCGTTCATTCGGCGTTCCTTTTGCGCTTTCACGGCGCTCCTGTTGCGTTGTAGGAGATGTTACTGAGTTGCTACGGCGTCCTTGCTGCGATCCCACTGAGCTCACTTTAGAACGCCGAGTGACGGCGTTTGTTTTGAACATGCTCAAAATGCGCGCCGTCGGTCGGCGTTCTATGCGATACCACTACGATGCTACGGCGATGCTGCGGCGATGTTTGCGATCTTACTGCGCTCACCTCGGCGTTCTGAAAATTCATTGGACGCCGTGAGAACGCCGCCCTAGTGTGACAGGGGTTTTAGGTAGTTGTAGGTTCGAGCCGTGCAAGTGTCGTCGGATTCTACATGTCAGAAGGTTATCCAGATAGCTTTCGTTACGCCGTTGTTCTACTCAAATGCCTGTTTCTGCCGACACTTGAGGTCTTCTTCCGCCAGTAAAGCCTGAAAGTCGCCGTATGACCTATACTGTGTTGATGCGACGTGAAACCCAGACAAAAGAATTGTTTGCGCATTCGCCATTCTTTGTTAAAAAATAGAGGATAATTTTATGATTATATCAGATAAGATAACATCAATAAATATGTGTTCTATTCCTAGAACATTAATTACGTAACCTTTTGATAATCATTTTTAGTTGTTGTTTTTGTTGCTGTTGCTTAATAGCCAATCAGAATGCTAACATAACTGTCAGCTGTCCGCCTACATCACAACAATACTGCATGCAGACGACAACCAGTACAACAATGAACATTACCACGGTAACCACATCTACAACCACTGAGAATATGACAACTACTATTATAACGTCAACAGATTCACACAATGTAACAACAGCAGAGGACAATTCTGAAGAAAAGGGTATCGATTTACTGATTTTTATAAAATTTATCAAACCACATGTTCTGTTATTATTGAATATTTCATTTCTGCCGTCACCTCTACGCTGATGTGACGACTGTCCTCCTTACTTTGGGCGGAATTCCTCGCATGCTTCTCCGCAGACACAGCAGAATCATAATGTTTGCAATGATATTATAGCTTAGATCATTCATATTTTTGCCAGTTCTTTTGCAATATATATTAAACACTTGCGTATAACTTTGTCACAAACGGTAAATGAGACAAATACAGTTTACCATTTCATTAAATATATACTTAGAGTTTTTTTTTCAGTAATAAAGAAAGTTTCATAATTGCAGCCATGTTTTTTTTTCAAATTAACATTACGAAATCTGTTTTTGTTCCAGATAACTGTTGTGAGATCTGTTGCCAGATGACTACTCGGGTATTAACATCCGTACATGTGTTTTTGTTATAGATGATTATCCGGCAATCTGGCATCTGTTTTTATTCAAAACGACTTTTAGGCAATGAACATCGTGTCATCTTTTTATTTTGTCACAGATCACTACTCCACAATTAACATCCCTACAAGTGTTTTTGTTACAGATGACTATCCGGCAATGAACATAATGAAATCTCTTGTTGTTGTATTTTTTCCAGATGACTACTTGGCTGTAGTAATTGCTCTGGGAGTGTTGTCGGCCATTCTGTTGATTGTTGTTATGATATTATCATGTTGCCTATACAGAACATGTCGTATTAAAAGCAGCAATGACTTAGAAAAGGTAAATCGTACCAAATCGTATGTCATAAGACAATCCATTCGTAACTAAGTAAATAGAAAATAAAAAGTGTTTTATTTTATATACCATCTACATGTAGATGATAAGAAATAAGCTCTTGGATCTCACTTTTTCTTAAAATATTTTACCTGTCAGTAATATCATTTGATAAAAAGTATACTACATATGAATTATTATTAAAGGGTTCCAGAGGGTATTGTGTGAAATACACGTTTACATATAGTCGTCATGGTAACCTATATTGTAATTAGTTTGAGTAGCTGATGGTTGAACTCACAACCTACGAATTGTAGTCAATCAATCACTGTTAACACTGGATCACTGCACCTGCTCTATTTACATGTATTAAAAAGTTAAGCATTTTCAATAGCAAAACATTATCCTTCTTAGATTTAACATGTTTAATTATCTTGGGACAATAACTGGTTAACTCCTATTGAATTTAAAAGGACTTAATCCGTTAATGCACTAAGGTGACAATACGATCAATAACCATTGTACGTTTAATGTTTCTGAATAGAAAGCATTACATATTTACAAATTACTTTCTATTAAAGGTAATTTATTTGGTAAAGCAATGAAAAAAGGATAAAGGGTTGTTATTTGAAATTGCATGTTGAATGTACATATGTATTTATCTTTTTAAAAAGTCCACTGCTGACATCTTACAAATTTTAACGAACAAATTTAATCGAGGTCAATAAATAATTTAAATAATTCTTCCTCATTCCACGATCATAATTTTATCTAATCGATGTCGTCTGCATGAGCGTAAATTAACCACTGTTTTACTTCCTAGTCACATGTATTGATTTATTTAATGTAGATCTTTTAATCTTTAATGTTTTTGTTATTCATGTACACACAATAAATTCACAATCGCATTGTTTTTCACAATAATGGTTAACCTAAAAGGGAAGTAAATTTCGTATTACACGAAAAAAAACACTCATGGAGTTGTCATTCCTTGTCATTGAAATAGACAAAGCAACAACCATGAGCAGAAATGAACATATCTTTGAGAAATAAAAGTATGCTTTAACCCCATTACAGGTTCCCGCGGAGAATAAACCATCCCTGCAACAGCCAGTCATGGTATCCGTACCAGAACCGCCCACTAGTCCAACTTTAAAAGATTTTGCTTGCCAGGTACAACTACACCATACTGTGGAAACAAAAGATCTGACTGAACCTAACATCAACTCTGAAATGAATGAAATACGTATTCCGAGGGCAGAGATTGGCTGCCAAGTAACCTTAACGGAATCAGACAGATTAACTGATTTTATGATGTCTGAAGTACCACCATTGAAACACAAAGATAAAGGTGTATCAACAGAAGCAATATTACAGTCTAATGGACAATGTCAAACAGACATGATTAAGACAAAAAATCAGAAAAGTCAAGCAAATATCAAAACAAAGAAAAATGTTCAAACTACAAGCAGTCAAACGGATATTATCCATCGAGACGATAAAAAACAAGGGGAAGCTAAACAATTCACAATTGGCCCTGATAAAACACCTATCAAGCCTGTGGCTAATGGAAATATTCCAGCATTTGTAGATGAAGATGAAGCGTCTCCAATCCAAATGGAAAATGTAATTATCAGCAAACATAAACACAAAAGGAAGACAAGGAAAAAGAAAAAGATTCCAAAAAGTGACGATGAACGTGACATTCGTAATATATCTCCTGATACTCTAGATATAGCCAGTGTAGATTCAATCAAAGACATTCCGGCAAATAAAAGATTTTTTTTTACACCGGAAAAGGAAGTATATAAACCGGAACCGGAAATGTCTCAACCGGAAACGGTTGTACACAGTTATCAAACCGATAATACTGATACTGAAAGTCCGGATACGTATAGTAGGGAAGTTCGCCCAATTCAGGTAATGCCATTTAGCCCAACTGTTGCCAAGGAGATTAAACATGTTTATAAAGTTCGTAGCGTGATGGAAAGTGCTTTCTTTACTCAGGAAAAGAATGAGGAAAAGCTACTACACATGATAAGACGTCAATCCAAGGGGAAACGAGTAAAGAAACGAAAAGATTCACATTGCTAACAAACATGATATCATAACAGTATTATTCGAATTACTTTACATATAAACAGAATATACAAATAGGGTCATTTTATTCATAAGTATATTGTTTTATTATATACTTATAAATGAAATATTGAGAATTTTTTATGAAATAAAATGCGTTTTGTTATTTTCCGTATTTTCACTGTAAAAATTTATTTTTCACTGCAGTGAAATATATTTTCCATATTTTCACTGGTGTGTTGCCGGACGACTCTCCTCTAAATTCGGCCAATAAACAAGATTAAAAGTGAATATTGCCTATTCATGAGGTTAAAAACGAGAAAAAGGTATAAAATAAACAGAAACTTCAAATTTCTATTAATACAGGATATATTTTCATCTTGAGGTATGAAAATTATCATATTTCACTCCTGGTTACTGCCACTCGTAAAATATTTATTTTCATACCACTCGATGAAAATAGATCCTTTATCTATTTATAGAAACTTGGATATCCTCTATTTATTTATTAAAATGATTTCTGGTACATGCCCTCGTGTCGTTAATATTATAAAATACAAAAGTATTTTGAGATGCACGACATAAATGTATTTTCACTTGTTTAACAATGTTGTTTTGTATTTTGTATTGAAATTAAGCTGTTATGTTAGTGAAAGAATATAGACGAATCTTATGAAAAATGCTTAAGAGTTATCAAAAAAAAATTGTTCCTTATCAATATTTCAATATTTATGTTTTTGATAGCTGTTGATTGTTTTTCTTTTTGCATGCACACATCGTTAAATAAGTTCAACAAAAAGGGCAGCTTATGGATTTACGTCCTATGTATATATCGTCTGTATCAATTGTTTCTTGTAATTATCAGGAAGTTATTATGTAAATAAAGGGCAAAACATGATGGACAGGATAGGGCTTTATTGATATATGGTTTGGAAAAGACAAAAGAAAAAGACAGGGGATACAATGTGGCTGCAAACAGGTATTCCCAGTGGTAGTTTGCAAAAGATCCATGCAATGCTACCACTATACAAAGTGAATGATTTGCGATTTCCTGCTAATAACGGGTGATGCCATTGTGTCTTCACGGATTCAACTTCATAAGTTCACGATTTCAGATTCACAAACGTATGTTAGTCAAATTAAAATCATAATTTGATGAAGCTGAATATGTAAAGTTTGAATTATTTAGCCAATATCTAATGATCAAATCAGTTGAAATCGTCATACAGTTGAAATTGTATCTATATAAGCGAATTCACGAAGTTGAAATGTCTCTAGCGGTAAATCGTTATTTCTCCTTCTCTAATAAGTACCCAGTATGACTATCTTAAGCGACCTAAACCGGCATTTTATGTTTTGGAAAATGCCGTAGCCGTACTAGAACCCGCGATTTCTTTTCAGGCAAAATTGCAAATTTTGGCATCCTATTTAATGCGTTTCAAGTACAATTATGAAGGTTATACTGCGTTTACAGGGCGTTCATATGGCATTCCTATTTTGTTCTTACGGCATTTATATGCGACTTAACAGGATTTTTAGAGCGTTCTTAGTGTGTGTACAATGATTCTACGGCGAATGGCATCCTCACGGCGTATTTAGTAGTATTTAATACGTATTAGGAACTTATCAAACAATCAATGTGCGTCTTTTCGGTGGTTATGCGGCATTTTCAATTCGTTCATAGCACGTGCTTGGGGTGCCAACAGGGCTGGCGTCCCTAAGGTCAATCTGTGCATTGTCGTTGCTCAGTGCCCAGAAGCAATGCGATTTGAGTCATCTTTCCCAATCTTTCAACCGGACTCTTGTATTGTGAATTGCTTTGCTTTGCCTTGTTAAAGCCTTTTTAAGAAAGTGTTAAAACACCCATTTTTACCAAACTTAAGTAATGAGACCTACAATTATTTTAGATGTTTAATTGTCCAAACATTTTTTTTATTGATGTTGTTTATATTTTAAGTGTGATGGAATTCCAATTATTACATACATGAATAAAGAAAGCAAAACAATATATGCCGATTTTGAATTTTAAACTTATTTCCTTGACCCTGACAGATGAATCAATCATAGCGTTGTTTTCGTCATCGTCTCTTTGGTTACTTTACCTGGTCAAATTTAACATGTATATTCTGACGAAAGACAAAGAAATTAACACTATAAAACACGTAAAAGAAACGCTGTTTTTCTGCATCCTGAATATTGTCGTTCATGAATCAAAAGAAAAACTATAAATGTCATGGTCCCGCAGTGTTAGCTGCTCTTTCAGCTCTTATTTCAAAAATTTCCTAAGAAATGATGAATGGTTTTGTCCAGATTGTGATGGACAATTACTTTTTAAGACGTTTAGCGTGGTAATGGTTAAGCGGAATAATGCAAGTTTTTCAATAGGATATTGATAACTTAAATAAGATTTGAGTCATATGACATTAAAACTGAGTTAGAAATTGCATTTCGGTCGGTTCCCTAACTATACATTGAAAGATATTGCAATAAAGATTATCTTGACGTATTGTGTAACAAAATAAATAAGTGTTATTTGTTGACATTTTAGGTTGACGTCATATCAACTAAACTGAAAGGAAACAAACCAAGAAAAACATATTCACAAAAAAGAACATAGATACTTTATCACATACCCATGCATCATTTCTAACTCCAAAAAAACTGGGAGTGAGAAGGCATATATTTGATAAGACTTAAATGAGTTATTTAGAGTAAATTCTTGGTCGCTATTCACTATCATGAATAAAAGGCCTGAGTATCTCCATAATGGCATGAGGGCCTCAGTCCGAAGGTCATTATCGCATAATATCGAGCAGCAAGTATATTAACGTCATTAGTACCTCGACCTGCAATGAAATATGGCTTTAATACATCGCGTTGACCTTTCTAAAAAACGGACAGTTGTCAATGCAAACAAATATTTGTTATTCAGTATAACTCACTGCCGGAGACTTTTGATGCTCTAAGATAACATTATAATGTAAAATAAACTAGTAAAACTAGTTGGTTTAAGGGAATCATTAATGAAACACATTTAATGCAAACAAATATTTGTTATTCAGTATAACTCACTGCCGGAGACTTTTGATGCTCTAAGATAACATTATAATATAAAATAAACTAGTAAAACTAGTTGGTTTAAGGGAATCATTAATGAAACACATTTAATGCAAACAAATATTTGTTATTCAGTATAACTCACTGCCGGAGACTTTTGATGCTCTAAGATAACATTATAATATAAAATAAACTAGTAAAACTTTTTATTTGTTTATGGTCTTTATTTTTTGAAAATAATGTTTACTGCTAGCTAGTTGTTTCGTGTGAAGATGTTGTGTGCTTGAACGAATCTGGTGCTGTCAAGTCACAAATTAACTAGCTGTAAAGATGACAAATTCTTTGGCTTATTTACTGAATATAGATGATGTTCATGTGGTATTTAGTTTTTCTAGTCATTTACTCACTGTTATGGAAATCAAATACTGCCTTTCACCTGACATAAATCCGTGAATGAAACATAACTTCAAAATTTATATTCATATTTTTTTTTTACTTTTTAGCATGTGTACCCAACGGTTTTTGTCTTCACCAAAACTTTTAGCAAATTCTCACCACTTGCCTCTCACCGCTGTGGGTTCGAATCCTGCCAGGGACTTGTTTTTTTTTTCATGTACGGAAGCCATCCAGCAAGCATGTCTCTATACAGGTGCATGTTCGTTCGTGCCTGAAACAATACGCAGCGGAGAACCTGACATCTTCTTCTACCAGTAAAGCTGGAATAAGTCCTTTATAGGTTGGTACGACGTAAAATCAAAACAAACAAAGAATTATAAATTCTCAACGAAATTAATTGAAAATATTATCACACGGACAATTTGAAGGATATATGGAGGATAATGGAGGAGGATTTATCAATGTCAAATAGAAAATGAAAAATTATTAAACTCATTTATCTTCGGGCCATATAATTCAAGAAGTAGGATGGTGACGCCCAGGTTGTCTTTCATAAATTTGTTTCATTTATGATTCCCTTAAACCAATTCTGTTCACCAGTTAAGATTTTCCTTATTTGCATGTGTAAAAAGGAAAAACAAACTAATAGGAAACGTATTAAATAAAATACTTATCAGAAGAAAAGCAACAGACATTTAAAACGCGCCTTTTATAACATTCACCAATAACAATTCTTTTCAACATGCTATAATCTATATTGTTCCCACATTTATTTTCAAACTTATATCCGTTACAATTGTTTTTATTATTATGAACGCAGTCAGTCTGAATGTGACGTTTTCGTGCATATTTAAGGACTATAATTATTCATATGGTATATATGTAATTATAAGGCAACTCAATACGTAAAATTATATACTAATGTAATCTTTTTATTTAGTATCTGAACAAATAACAAATGAAATACAAGTAAAACAATATGTCCCAATAGATAAAGACTGAATATTTCCAAACCATGATAGGTAAAATAGGAATTAATTAATAATATTCATATAAGCTTTATTATTAAAATGTGTATACGCTTCATTAAACGGCTTTGCGGTTTACACCAAATACTTGATTAATAGTATTAAAATCTACATGTACTTAATAATGTAAATTTGTTTACGGAATAATATTTTGTTAGTATACGTTATTAAATCCTAGCACACTTGCAATAACAACAAAAATTAAACGGCCTTAAATCTTCTTCTCATTTTCAAATTAATAACATTAATGCCATATATAAATAACTTTCAGTTTACATACATAACAGCATTATGTTTACGAAAGTTTCACCAAAGTTTTTACCTTGACTATCTATACATATCAAGTTTCAAAATGTGACAGTCGAGAATACAAACTACTGTACGGTTCACTTTGAAACTTGAGTTCAGGTTTTGGCAGAGACCATTTCTTTTTTGAGTTTGCTTTTATTTTTAGTGTTTTTCTTGCTATTATTTTTCTTAACGACTTCGTCATTTTAATGTCAGAATTGGTACTACATTCATTTGATATAATGCCATATGTAACCAGATATTTCTTTTGAATTTGTGACAATGGTAAAGTTTTTATGACGTCAGTATTTATTTCTCTGTTCTTGTGAACCTTTTTCCATTTCCTACTGATACTCAATTTTCCTGGGCTTGATGAATCAGTTATTTCGACAGTGTTTGTCTCTGAGTTTTCTAATCTACTGTATTTAGGACTTACCAAGGTGACTACACAATCTTCTTGATCGACTTCTTGACAGTTTAAGCTGTGATTCAAAATTTGTTCTTTAGGTTCTGCAAATGTCACGTGACGCATTGTTTGCTTTGTTTCGTCAGTATCTAAATTTATTGTCTCTTCAAACGGTTCTTCATCATTTAAACAATGGTTAGTTTGAAACGATGGCTTTTTATTTTTCATACTTGCTCCAATCACATTTGTCTTAGATTTAGATCCTTCATCCTTTTCATTGTCTATTCCGGAAATGTCGTGTACTACATCTCTTCTTTCTTTTATTTTATCAAACGAAGAAATTGAATCAGAATTAGACACTGATCGGGGAAGTCCAGTAATTGAAGCCAATGAGTCTGGATTTTCCATTATTGGATACTCACTAACGAAAATGAGATTAAAGAATTCTTCAGAATCCAGTATGTTCATGTCTTCTGATAAAAGATCTGTGTCAGTGGATTTTATATCCTCGTTCGACATACATGACCTCTCGGTCGGTTCTGCTACTAATTGTGAAAGCAACCCATCATATTCTCTGCATTCCTTAATTTTTTCGTCTTTTTTAACTTTTCTACATTCACATTCGGAAAAAATATCCAATTTATTATCGAAAGGGGGGTTATCGGGATCTATATCAACGCGAACATCCATCGGATATTTTTTGTCTTCACATGTATTCCTGTCTATATTTATAAAGGGATTTGACTTCTTCATGTGTGTATCTATTGGAGGCAAAGGACGAACATAAATTTCCTTTGAAATAAAGAAATCTGTTTGTGTGCCTGCAGATATCATAGTTTTCTTCACCTTAAATATAGCAATACAAGAAAATGTGTAGTTAAACTCCAATTTCTTACATACTTTTGAAATTTTTAATTAGTTATCGTGTTAAATGCACGATATCTTATTCCACAAAATAACTCCCAATTTACATCTTTTTTCATTTTAGTTAGACTTTCAAAAGTTTAATTATAAATGTTAAAAACAATTCTAACAAGCTTCGTGATTGCGTCGCTATTCACATGGTTAGCTGCCAATAAACACTGGTTAGGGACTACAAGATTAATCGGCTGTTCTTTTTTCCTCCATCCCTTAAGATGGATAAACAAATCCTTTGAAGGCAAAAATAATAACCAAATAATTGATTTTTTCCGCTCACAATTGTTTTCTTTCAATATGATACTAAATTGACATTTCACATGCAATAATGCTACATTTTTACCCATATCAGTTGATATAATTTATTAGAGAAAATACTTAGGCAATATTAATCAGCGTATTGACGTCATTTTTAGTAGTCAACTCATTCTTAAAATTGCCAGAATGGCGTTACCTTAAACTGCAATGGGTGATGGATGTTTGACACTTAAGTTTAAAATGTTGTAAAACCGAATCACAAGACAATCAAGTTTGACACGGAAGTTTGAATTGTTGAAAAACAAAACAAAATCATTGATGAAAAAAAAAAAGTGTGACATATTTTTCTTATTTGTATTTCTTTTGTTTATTTTTTTATACCTTAGCGAAAGAGGAGTCCTAAATAACAAAATCGGCAACGGAAAAATATCGGCTTAAAACAAAACATTTATGGTCTCCCTTATTTTATCATATTATAAAATCAAAAAAAAATCGGACTAAGCGGTGTTAATCGGCTATTTAATATAGGTTTGTCGATTTAATGCGACAATATTAACCACTCAGAAGCCAACGGCCTTCGTGGTCGATTCCTATGCATCAAAACTCCACACGGGTGTCAGCTGATAAACACCGCTGAGACCGATATTATTTCTAAAATAGCTTGTAAGTACTTACATTCACAAACAATCTTGATATAACACACCATATCATCACACAGATGCTCATAGTACCAAGAGCAACGCTTAATGCAATAATGACATAATTTCTGACGTCATCTGATAATAAAATACACACAGAAACAATTATTCAATGGCAGAAGAAACAATCAAGTCTTATTACGTATAATTTATAGCTTAAGTTGAGAGTAGGGTTTCAAAAAATAGTCAGTTATAAACATTAAAACAAATATATGCATGTAGATTTGGATCTATGATCTAAAAAAAAGCTATTATGATTTATAAGTTACTGTTCAAAAATATCATCTACAACAACAACAACAACAACAACAATTTCTTAAATGGTAGGTATCTTCATGTTTAATTACCTTGCTCAAACTCGTCTCTTGTTTGGCATAATTGACCTGAAGCTATACTAGTTGTTTCTTTCCCTAGCGACGACGTTGTTAGATCTGGTTGTGTTGATGTTGTGGGGGAGTCTGTAATTGTAGTCGATTCACCTATGGTAGTATCCTGGTCGACTGTTGTTGACATACCTGTAGATGCTCTAGATGAAATTAAAGAAGTCGTTGTTGTTTCGGCAGCGACTGATGTGGTTAGATCTGTAAATTGTGTAGAAGTTTCCGTTGTTATTTGTTCACTTGAAGTTGTCTCTAAATCAGTTGTGGACGGCTCAAGATCATCTGATGTTGTAAAGTCAATATCACCTGTGGTAGTTGTGCTTAGATCATCGACTGATGTATCAGATGCTGCAGTTGTCGTTGATAAATCGCCCGTGGTTGTACCAGATTCAGTAGATGATATCATACTTGTTGGTTCAACTGTGGTGTCTATACCACTAGTTGTTGTTGGAATATCAGTTGAAAAAGAAACAGTAGATTGGGAAGAGGTATACGTCTCATCATTTTTTGTTGTTGTGTCTAATTTTTGAGTCGATGAGAACGTTGAAGCAGTCGACGACGCGGAAGTAGCTGTAATAAATTTTTAAAAAGCATTTTATAAAAACAACTGTTTGACGGATTGCTATCAAATCTAATAACATACTACAACGGATTTTTTGCATTTAATACCTTACAGAACTATATCAATCATTTAATTTCTTACACTAATAAACTTTAATTGCTTTGTGTTTATACATAATGTAATTGTTTCCTAAAAATTAAAAAGATCAGCAATTGAAACAAAACAGTTCGAGGGGAAATAAAGTTTCCTTTAAAAAGGAAAGGCTTGCTCAGTTGTGCCATCATCCCTTCCCTTTAAATTTGTTTTTTTTTTTTTTGTTTCAATTTATTATCACATTTTTTTAATTACGTATTTGTATATTATAAAGGGTTTATTTAGTTTTTTTTCTCGAAAAAAAAGTTTCACTTTTAAAGGGATATGTAGGGTTTTTTCGTTTTGGCAGTTGCTAATTTCATTTATAGCAGCTTTAGAGACAAGTAAATGCACTAAAAGACTTCGTTACGTGGTACCAATTAATAAGCATGTATCAACTATGTTACACTTAAAATATCTATGGAGATCAGCACGTGGCAAGGTTAATGATATGCATGGGCTATTTTTAGATTACTTTACCAAGACGCTAGATCTAAATATAACTTGATCATGCACTAATATTCTGCGTGATTCGGTCACGATCTTTTGATAAGCAGGACCGCTCTTTAAATTGGAGACGGAATACTACTAACTACAGTAACCATTCTCTATTGTATAAAACTAATAAAGACAAAAACAATTATAAAAGAAACTAACTTTTGCGTCTTGAAAAAGAATTGAAACGGAATCAAGTAAAAATAGAAATCCTATTTATATAAACAAACTGGGATTACCGAAGTAACTAAAATAGCTTAGATTTCGGTAATATTACTCGCCCGAATTGTCACGATTGCAATCGGAACTACATCGGCTATTATCATTAATCCGAAGAGTGACGGAAAGGGCCGAAAAGTTGCGATTGGCACGATTGCAGCTGGTTTCCCGTTCAATCATGCACTAACATATGTAAGCAGGAAACCACCTAACCGGAACAAGTTTTCCAAAATAAATGTCTTGCAGCTTTGCAGCCAAAAACGTGAAATTTGGATCACACAAAACTAAAGATGGTTATGAAGGGTCATACAATAAAAAAGTTTCATTTTAATTTCAGATTTTTTCTTTTATATCAAAATGATATTTAAAAAGAAAGGGGAAATATGAGATGAAATAAAAATATTTAAGATTTCAATTCTTACCTGATCTGGATATAGCAAATATGGTGATAACTAAAATTAAACGGTCACGCGACTTTCTCATTGTTTTGAAATGTTCACCAGAAAAATGCGCTATTAAAATCTTTAAACACAGAAAATAGTTTGTCTTAAACCTGTGGATCAGCTTAGAAATGATATGGTTAGACAAATAAAAAGTAGTTTATCATTCCATGGATTTTTTAAAATTTAATTGTTAAAAATGTTATTTTTTTAGAAAAAAAGCTATATTATAAGTATAAGATGATTGAATTTATTCACATTCGATAATGTTTATTGTGTTGATATAAAATGCACATCTTATCTTAACATTTATTTAAGTGAAATTTATGATTGTTATAACTATAGAAATGAATCATCATTCCAAAGACACTAGTGTTCATTTTTATTACAAATTAGGCGAACTGATATTCATGTTAAAATCAATACATCAAATAGTATCTTTTATTAAAATGTATATTAAAACACATTTCGTTAAATTAAAAAGTTAATTTATCAAATCATATTGTATCTCCTTAATTTTAATGCTTTAATATGTCCATCGATTTGAAACAATACTGCTCAAGTTTCATAAAACATCACAAAAGTAACACTATTTTTCCCATCTACAGTTTAGTTTTAGGCGTATCTATACAAAAAAGACATGTAAATATTTGAAACAAAAATATTTTATGCCGTATTTTTTTAAAATAAATGTAATATTTATAATAACATTTTAACATTGGTTAATACAAATTTTGAGAAGGTGACAAAGGGTAATACAATTAGGTTAACAAAATTTGAAATGTTCTTTGTTCATACGTATACTGTTAACAAATAAAACAATATTTGGATAGTCTTTTGTTTACGCTTATACAGATAAAATATGCCGGCATTCAATCCTATATCGTATTTTTCAAATAGAATCTCTTGAATGATGTGTTCATATTCTTTGCTTAGTGTTATATGTAACAACGCTTTATGCATTATTCACAATAGCCAATAGCTTATGATGGACAAACCGCTTCTGACTGCGTCAGGCATAGATAAAGGTTAATGTAGCCATCTTGATAAACCTGTTAACTGTAAAGGATACCGTATCACCATTGAAAAACACCTCTTACATTCCTTGCATATATAATGGAAAGGTTAGTATGAGTAATCAGAGTAGTCAGAAATGTGACAGTTTGGCATTATCTATACCAATCTAAGAGAAATAGTTTACATTCCCTACTAAATTTTAGATCATTATCTCTTGTTTTTGCCTTAATAGATGATCGTTGATCATCATGATTTGGTTGTATTAATACAACACTCGTCAATGGCAATGTTTTGTTTTAAGAGATGGCTGCTCTGATCCAAAATTAATTTCAATAGCAAAAAATTATTCACCTTGTCTTTAAAATATATCCAATATTTATGTTCAATATATATGTAATTGAGGTGCTTCTTTTTAGACAACTACTAAATGACTATTGGTGTGCATTTTATTTTACGCCTGTATTTTACTTTTTACTTATTTTTATAAGTTGAAGGCCTATTTAATTGTAAAAAACAAAAACATTTATATTGAATGTAAGTGAAAATATTTAAAAAAAACTAAAAAAAACTGAAACTTACTTTGTATTGTTATGGAGCACGGCTTTCATAGGGACATAGAAGTAGTTTTTTATACGATTTCATTTGATCACACCGCTATTCTTTAATATATTTTGACCTGTGATCAAATCCCTCTCTTTCAAATATTGTTACAAACTGGGGTTTAAATATTTCACCTTTGTTGTTTGTTTTTTTTTTTCGATAATAGAATAGAGCTGTGTTGTAAAAACAATTTTTGTCTAGTTCTGCAAAAAAATTTAGTTGAGTTTATATTTTAAACATTACTAAACAATAAAGACACTTTTTTTATAAAATTTCAAAATAGGACGTCCTACTTTTACGAATATTATCGAATCTTACTACTTCCCACTGCTTACAATTATGTTTCATAACGTTCGTTCGTTTAACGAGCATAATACTTTTGATAACTTTTTTATACTTGCTACCAAAAACTTACAAAAGAATAGATAATTATACAATGACTCCTGCAGAAAAAGACATTACGATTAAAACAAACAACAAGAGGGCCATGATGGCCCTAGATCGCTCACCTGACTTATCAAACTCATCCAAACAATTACCTAGACAAGCATTCTGACCAAGTCTCATGACAGGTGAGTCAAAAATGTGACCACTACAGTGTTAACAAGGATTATCCATATTTGAGCAGTGCGACCTAGTTTTTTACCCAGGTGACACATATTCAAACTTGACCTAGAAATCATCAAAACAAACTTTCAGGCCACTTTCCAGGATACTTGGATAAAAACAGTAGCAACTAGAGTGTTAACAAGATTTTTCTATTTTTAGCTCCGGTGACCTAGTTTCACATGCGATTTCGAACTCATCCATGCAATTACCTAGACAAGCATCCTGACCAAGTTTCATGATAATTGAGTCGAAAATGTGACCACTAGAATGTTAACAATGTTTTTCCATATTTGGGCGGTGTGACCTAGTTTTTCATCCAAGATGACCCATGTTCGATCTTGACTTAGAAATCATCAAAACAAACTTTCAGACCAATTAACAGAATATTTGGATCACAACAGTAGCCACTAGAGTGTTAACAAGATTTTTCTATTTTTAGCTCCTGTGACCTAGTTTTTCATCCGAGATGTCCCATGTTCGATTTATTCCCAGCAATGACCTAGACAAGTTTCCTGACCAAGTTTGATGACAATTGAGTCAAAATTGTGACCACTAGAGTGTTAACAAGGTTTTTCTATTTTTAGCTCCTGTGACCTAGTTTTTCATCCGAGATGACCCATGTTCGAACTCATCCGAGCTATCACCTAGACAAGCAGCATCTTGATCAAGTTTGATGATGATTGATGAAAAATGTGACCGCTAGAGTGTTAACAAGGTTTTTCTATTTTTAGCTCCGGTGACCTTCTTTTTCATCCGAGATAACCCATGTTCAAACTCATCCGAGCTATCACCTAGACAAGCATCTTGACCAAGTTTGATAATTATTGATGCAAAAATGTGACCGCTAGAGTGTTAACAAGGTTTTTCTATTTTTAGCTCCGGTGACCTACATTTTCATCCGAGATGACTTATGTTCAAACTCATTCAAGCTATCAACTAGATAAGCATCCTGACCAAGTTTGATGATGATTGATGCAAGAATGTGACCGCTAGAGTGTTAACAAGGTTTTTCTACTTATAGCTCCGGTGACTTAGTTTTTCATCCGAGATGACCCATATTCGAACTCATCCGAGCTATTATCTAAACAAGCATCCTGACAAAGTTTGATGATGATTGGTTCAAAATTGTGACCTCTAGAGTGTTCACAAGGTTTTTCTATTTTTAGCTCTTGTGACCTAGTTTTTCATCCGAGATGAGCCATGTTCGAACTCATCCGAGCTTTCAACTAGATAAGCATCCTGACCAAGTTTGATGATGATTGAGGCAAAAATGCGACCGCTAGAGTGTTCACAAGCAATTGTGGACATACGACGGACGACGGACGACGGACATTCACCGATCCTAATAGCTCACCCTGAGCAAGCTCAGGTGAGCTAAAAAAATAAGGAATGCTTATTATCACAATCACCAACACTTTATATATCTAAAAGAGACATAAAGATACAAGTACATGTATATATATGTACTGTGTCTTTATTTAACCATGCCAAAAAATAACTGTTACAAAATAACGTCATGTTTAATAAAATGTAATTTAGTACTATAGTAAAAACGGTTTCAATCATCGTACCGTCATCATAGCATTTAGAGACAAACACCACATTGTCCGCATCAATATTGTTCACCTTCTTTTCAATGTTTAATGTTTACCTTTTTGAGTATTATTTTGTTTCTTTTTACTTTTCAGATTTAGTTTTGACGAATTAAGAACTGCTTCCAATGTTGTCTTTAAGCTTTCCGTTTGTGCCATTTGTGGGCTTCTACATGTAGTAGGTTTAACGATTCGCAAACTATCATCTTTGTTTTCAACATCGGTAATATCATTGTACGCATCATTTTCGACTAATTCTTTGTTTTTGTCTGTAGAACCATTTGCATTTACTGACCTTTTTCTTCGACTTTTTCTAGATAAATCATTCATCGCTTCAGATCTTGTTAAACCTTGACTATTGTTTACCATGGTCGAGTACCTGTTTTCATCATAATTGTCAATAATACCAAGCAGAACTTTTATGTCTGTATCCAACAAACTGAATGGTTTACTCTTGAGTTGAGCATGATGTCGGTGTTTTAAACTCAAATGTGTCGGACTAATCTTATTACGTCTCTTTTTCTTATGACCAGACCTTTGAGAAACCTTAGTGTTTTTACTCACGAGAAAGGCATCTTTGACTTTATGAAGATGTCGGTTTTCGTGACCTAACGGTTTGATGTCATCATCGTCATCATTCTCGTCCACACTTTCAAATTCGCTGCTATATGAATCGTGATAAGGTCTTGGATACGATCTTTCTTGGTTGGTGGTTGGAGTGTTCTTATATCTTAAATGATTTCTATGTAAACTACTTCTTTTCTTCCTTCTGTAAGATTTAGTTGCACTCTCTGGTCTAGATCCGCCTACATTGAAAGCTGTTTCATTTCGAATAGGGGATGCCGGTGCCCTTTTTTCTTTTGGAATCATATTTATGTCATTTTTTACTATTAATAGGCTATTCCCGGGTAATATTTCGGATGCAACTGTTGTACTCAGTGGTTCGGTGTTAGTGTTCGGATTTTGATCATGAGAATCACCTTTAAAAATCTGAGTTTCATTCAACTGCCCTGTTTTCTTGTTATGTAGAAATGCTTTGCCCTTTGACGAGTCCATAGTAGCTCTAGATGATAATCTTGGCAAATTTTCTTTCTTTTCATCGGCAGTGACTGTATTTTCTCCTTTCCAATTTTCACCATCTTGAATAACATGGTCATTATTCCGTTGATGTGTTCTCTTGTTATTAACATCAAGTATATTTTGTGAGGAGTTAGTTGTAGCACTTCTTGGTGACGATTTTACTTTTTTTCCACTAGTACTGACAACCTTTTCTCCTATTCTTTTTCCATCTGGTTGAATTTTACTTTTTTTACTGGACTTTACTTTCTTATTTGTCGCGACACTTTCGTCTATTTTATCATGTGCTGTGCGTGTTGATTTAGCTTCATGATTATGTCTAGTCTTTGTAGTTTTGTTTGGCCATAGAACTGGGTTTGAGTCTGCTGCTTTCTTATTTTCTACTTCAGATATTATTTCAGCCGTTTGTAAAGGTTTATTTTTATTTCCGCCATTATTTGCATCTCCTCTAATAATTTCTTTCTGCAACATATATTAAAACATAGCACTAATTCGCATTTTATGACAATTTGTAAATTAGCAAAAATATAAACATTTAATATATCGCTATAGAATTACATGTAAGTTTCCAAAGTAAATTTCAAAGAAAGCGTAGGTTACTGCTACAAATACGCAAACATTATAAAAACTATTCATATATGTATAAATGTGTAAAAATACCTTAACTTGTTTGCGCCGTTGACAAACTCCGAAGTTGCGGGAGTACAAAGTTATAAGAATTACTATCACGATAAAAATTAATCCTGCAAACACACCTATCACTATTGGCACCCAGTCTGAAATAAATTAATTATTACCAATATAGTTATATGCAGTTAAAAGATGAGACATTAGAATCTACCATTCTGTTCTAAATGCACAAACACAAATATGAGCATTATATCTCGCATAAATGAACAGGCATTATTATATAATTTATTTATCTATCTAACCGCTGCACGATAGATGCTGCGAATCAGATAGTGTCCACATTTTAGCATAAATTTATTTATTTATTTATTTATTTATTTATTTATTATTTATTTATTTATTTATTTATTTATTTATTTATTTATTTATTCACTTATTTACTTATTTATTTATTTATTAATTTTATTTATTCTGTTTACAATTTACCATAGTTTGAATCGGTAGTAATCGTCTGAGATGTAGAAATTACTGCTGGTGGACTGTTAGTTGAAGTTGAGTAGTTCAAAGACTCGCTCGAGCTAGATATAGTAGTTGTTGTGGACGATAAAGTTGAAGTAGTCGTTCTCTCACACATTGTCGGATATTCTGGAGGACAATTGACAGTGATGTTCGACGAAGTTGTCGCTGTGTAAGTATTCAAGTTTTCAAAATAAAAATTCAACTAAAAAAGTTTGCCAGCAGATATTTTGTCTTGTTAAAAGGCATAAATACTGTTCTGGGAATGATCCTTAGACTCGAACCCATGATTGATACCCATATTGATAGGCAGACATTATTGCTTCTGGTTTACTGCTTGCTTTCGTATTCTAAAATGCTCTATGTTTTCAATATGGCCTTTTATCATTACATAATAACAAAACAAAGTTAATTAACATCAGTATTTTCATTCGATATAATGATTGTTTGCTATGGTTATTGAAATTTACTAAATACTCACGTTGGAATCCTATCCAGAATCGCCCACCTACGTCTTTATTGTTCTTACTGAAGTAAATAATGACGTAATTAGGAACGATAGCGGAGACAACATCAACGGTATTCTCAGAACAGCTCCAATCATTCACAGTATTGTTGTCGGCATTCATGATTTTCAAGTACTGTTCGCACGATCCATTGCTGGAAATAATGAAGTGAAAGTAAGATTACTTTATCAAATCCAAATTAAATGTGTTATGTTAAAAAATTTAGAATTTAAAATGAATTTTAAACTTATTTTAAACGTAAGGTTATTTGATCCCAAACTAACAATAGGTATACCGTTATTTAAATATGATATAAGGTCATTTCCATCTTTTAAAAGCATTCGGATATTAAAATCTAAGTTTTACATTGAGCACAAGGCTGTTACTCTCTCAAAATTACAGTAGGGCTTAGGCACGTGGTTTTTATCACTGTTAATTTTATAAAAAGTAGTTGTTACTTTTGCAGATGTGTTGTTTTGTGTTGTTTAAAACTGACCCTGCAAGCCTGCAGACACAAGTTGATCATGATTTTGAATATTCATATAAATGTGGTCTAAAGATAGATGTTATCAAAAATTTGAAAAACGTAAGTCAATCCATAATTTTGATATATTTATAAATGGTCAATTTGTTGAAAATGTAGATGGTTTTACATATTTAGGAGTGAAATTTTCTTACACAGGTAGTTTTGTTGAAGCTGTGAAAACATTTTCAGATCAAGGTCTAAGAACTTACCTAAATTTTCTCGCACTTTTTGATAGAGTTAAATTCGATGTTATAACAAAATTATACTTGTTTGAAAGAATGGTAGCTCCAATCTTATTATATGGGTCAGAGGTTTGGGGTATATATAACCTTGTAAAACTACAGATAAGATTTTATAAATATGTTTTAGGTGTCAAAAGACAGACCCCAAATTTTGCTGTCTATGAAGAACTAGGTGAATTTCCTTTGTTTTATGTAAGGAAAGAGCTTTACGATTTTAGAATACAATCGTTAACCGTCAGCAGGCGCCTATATAACATATATATATTTAGACCAATGCATTAATGGGAATGATAAATGTTTGGCTAAACGCGTCCAATGGAATTTAAGCAGAGATTAAGAGATCAATTTATAACAATGGTACGATTGTATAGATATTATGCCAAAGCTTGATTACTATAATAAATATAAAACACAGTTTTGTATTGTAAAGAATGACAATTTACGTAAACAACTATCATGTTATATATTATGTTCTCATTCCTTAAAATAGAAACAGGGAGATATATGAGAACGGATAGAAATAACTGATTATGTAAATTATGCTAGTATAAAAATGGTGAATTAGAATACCACTTCTTATTATGTTGTCCCTTATATTCAGAACTGAGAAACTCTTTAATTAAACATGTATCTTTTCCAACATTAAATAACTAACATGGCATTATGTGATGACATTATCTAAAACATGATAGGATCAAAAATAGAATATTGCAATTATGTAAATTTCTAGATAAATCATTCGCATTAAGATCTAGTGTTTTAGAAACAATGCAAGAATTGTAGATTTAATATGTTTCTGCATTTTATGTGAACATTGTATATTTGTATTGAATGTTAGTCATATTTCTAGTGATTTATGTATGTTTTGTATGTATTGCCAAAGGCAAAGGTTTGCCGAAAAAATGCAACAACATTTGAATTGAATTGAATTGTTAATATCTGGGAGGGACTGTTGTTTTACGGTTATCTACATATCAAATTAACAGTAAGCATAGAAATCAGTTAAGTAAGCATTTACTATGTAAAACTTACAGTCAGCATACACTTGTTTTGATATCAAAAATACTATGAACATTAGCATATACTAGTAGTTAGTTTGACCTCAAAAGTACGATAAGTAAAATTTCTATCTTAAACTGAAAGTATGCATACGCTTAAAGATAGATGGACGGACGGACGGACATACAGACAAGACAAGACAAGACAAGGTAGGTAGGTAGGTAGGTAGGTAGGTAGCTAGCTAGCTAGCTAGCTAGCTAGGTAGGTGGCTAGATAGATAGATAGATATCTATCATTATCTAAAACATGATAGGATCAAAAATAGAATATTGCAATTATGTAAATTTCTAGATAAATCATTCGCATTAAGATCTAGTGTTTTAGAAACAATGCAAGAATTGTAGATTTAATATGTTTCTGCATTTTAGGTGAACATTGTATATTTGTATTGAATGTTAGTCATATTTCTAGTGATTTATGTATGTTTTGTATGTATTGCCAAAGGCAAAGGTTTGCCGAAAAAATGCAACAACATTTGAATTGAATTGTTAATATCTGGGAGAGACTGTTGTTTTACGGTTATCTACATATCAAATTAACAGTAAGCATAGAAATCAGTTAAGTAAGCATTTACTATGTAAAACTTACAGTCAGCATACACTTGTTTTGATATCAAAAATACTATGAACATTAGCATATACTAGTAGTTAGTTTGACCTCAAAAGTACGATAAGTAAAATTTCTATCTTAAACTGAAAGTATGCATACGCTTAAAGATAGATGGACGGACGGACGGACATACAGACAAGACAAGACAAGGTAGGTAGGTAGGTAGCTAGGTGGCTAGATAGATAGATAGATAGAAAGATAGATAGATAGATAGATAGATAGATAGATAGATAGATAGATAGATAGATAGATAGATAGATAGATAGATAGATAGATAGATAGATAGATAGATAGATAGATAGATAGATAGATAGATAGATAGATAGATAGATAGATAGATAGATAGATAGATAGATAGATAGATAGATAGATAGATAGATAGATAGATAGATAGATAGATAGATAGATAGATAGATAGATAGATAGATAGATAGATAGATAGATAGATAGATAGATAGATAGATAGATAGATAGATAGATAGATAGATAGATAGATAGATAGATAGATAGATAGATAGATAGATAGATAGATAGATAGATAGATAGATAGATAGATAGATAGATAGATAGATAGATAGATAGATAGATAGATAGATAGATAGATAGATAGATAGATAGATAGATTAGATAGATAGATAGATAGATAGATAGATAGATAGATAGATAGATAGATAGATAGATAGATAGATAGATAGATAGATGTAATAATCCTTCTTGAAAAATATAACGGAACTTTCTGGAATCACCGAATCAGACGTATACTTTTGTTCAATGCAACTTTTTTTCGTGCATTAACATCGTACTTCTTTACGTTCTTTACATATTTAATACAACTTCAGTCTGCATATAGTTATTTCCTTGTGAAAAAACGGTTAACAATATAAATCTTTAAGTTTACATTCGGTCATTTCCATACGAAACTGACAGTTATAATACTATGTTTTTTGTGTTTTTTGTTTAGTTTTTGTTTTTCATTTTTGTCGATCTCGCACATACAGTAAGCATGTTGTTATTTCGATCGAAAACTTCCGGTAAGCATCAGATAATAATGACAACTCAATGAACTTTTCTGACCTGTATGAGTACAGAGATATGTCTAATGTGAACATCTCAATACCAGCATCACAGTTATCTATTTCTATAGAACAAGCCGCTCTATCCATGTCTCCCTGTATCACGCTCGGATAGTCTTTGCTCCAAATATACACGGCTTCTGCTTCAACAACGACTTTCACACCAGTGTCACTGAACATGTCAAATATGTGTGTTCCTTTAATGTAAACATGCTTAAATAAATACGAGCGTGTGTTTATATATATTTACTAAACAGATTGGTGATGAAAGCTTATCATTCAACCACTCTTGAGTTCGTTTCCTGGTAAAAGTCAGTAATGGTTCATATCAGGAAACTTGGCCGTTAGCTCAAACTCAAACAGAGCGAATATTTAAGGATATCGTATGCTCATGGTAAAAAAATAAATATATAAATTAAAACCTGCGCGCTGAGTTTACATTTTTATCTATAGCCCTGGCTAAATCTGTAGTTCTAGTAAATCAAAAAGCTATGTTAAGTACGATTTCCAGTTTTCCTAGCAATTTTGTTGTTTTGTTGTGATAATATTCCAGGCTGAAACGGAATTGTTTGCATACCAAGCAACAAAAAACTTAAGCCAATCAACAAATCTGACTGGAATTTATACAAAGTAATTTAGTTTCACGTAGTTTGTTGTAAATATGGGTAGGTCTTTAATACTTACGATTTATACAGTTATAATTGATGTACATGTAGTTTGTTAAGTTGTAATATATGTTAGTCCCTCCTTGGCAGGAAGCAGGGGTGTTACTCCCTGTTACAGGAAGACCAGATATAACCTCATTTCCGTTAATTTTGTTGTGATATATCTGATTTGCATTTGAATCAAATAAGAAAATACAGTCTTCTTCATTCGTTTCACAACACGACGAGTCATTCACAGGTGTAGTCCAGGCGTTTGGGCATCCTGTTGACATCCTTTTGGTTCCAACAGTTATGTTATATATTGCAATAGCATACCCTAATCCGCATTCCACATCAAAGTGGTTATCATGACCTGTGCCACGACATGTTGTGTTTGTACGACAACATGGTAATAGTGGTATAGCTGAAACTACAAATGGACCAGAATATTAGAGCTATTGTCATTTTACGTAGATAACATGTTTATTATAGCGCTTTTACGTTAGGCGTAAGGCAGCAAAACTTAATAAGATTTTCGACAGTCTTTCAATTGTTTTTTTTTAATTTTCCTTCTTTCAATCCAATAAAGATTAACGGTAATAGGAAGGCTATTTTACTCCTTTTAACTGTAAGATATGATTTATTCTTTATTTATTATCCCTAAAAGGACGTATTATGTTTTTAAATCACGTGGATTTTTTCCTTTTTTTCTGTCACTGGAATTAAAGAAACTTTTCGTCATTTTATCAAATTTAATGAAAACAAAAAACTAAAAACGTTAACTAACCTCTACTAGTCGAGAAAATAGTATCTTTGAAGACTAAAACGAGCCAATACAAAAACACAAGTTTAAACATAGTATTTTTATCTTCCACTAGATGTACATACACATAAATACTATATTGTTAACTGAATAATCAACTTGATTAATGAATGGTTGACTAGAGAAAGTTAGAGAAAGTTTAACGTTTGTTTTAGACGTGCATTTGCTCCGATTAACTTAAACAATAGATTTGTTTTAGGTAGTCGATATGTTAATAGCAAAAAGACGAGGAAGAGAAATTCAATACTTTTTGCATTAAGCGTTTTAAATTTTTTTAAAGATTGATTTTAAATAGTAAAATGTTAAAAAGACAAGTTGAGCACTAGCTACGTCATTAAATATGATTTCGGTTAGTAGATAGGGTAATATATATGCACGACCATGTAGTACGTTTTTACTGTCATTTACATTATACAGCGCGTGAATAAAAAATATTCTTTTGCATAACAGAGACATAGATAACATCTTTTTATCTACATATCTGTATATCTTACTGTTTTTATTTTGGGTATACGTGATAAATAGAACATTACATTCGTGTAGGTTCATTACTGTGAATGAAATAAATTATTATTATTATTATTATTATTATTATTATTATTATTATTATTATTATTATTATATTATTATTATTTTTATTATTATTATTATCATTTTTTATTATTATTATTATTATTATTATTCTTATTATTATTATTATTATCATGTAACTTTCGAAACGATAATGCAAAAAAGTGTTTTGTTTTTGCCTTCATTTAAATCAAAATACATTTAAGATGAATGTTTCAGATGTAATATAAACATCTATAATTGATAAAACACTGTAATGAGTTAGAATATACATATCTACCCGTATTACTGATATGTAGGTAACCGGACATTGCAAGTTTAACTGTCAATCATTACAAGTATGTGACGTTTGACCTCAGGGCTTCATATACAGTTATTTTTATTTTACACTTCGGAGGGTGGATATCAGATGAGGTTTGTATTTTACTAATTAAATAATTTTGATTTTATATAATTTTATATGTTTACATTTAACACTCCAATTGAGTACTTTCTCTTCAACGGTCCTCAATATTTTGAAATGTTCGTTTACGACGTGTTATCGATGATTTGAAGAACTTATTAATATACAGTTTTGAACTCTCAATTGTAGTTATCCTCTTAGTAAATTTGTGCGTTTTTTATTGTAAGCTTTTTATTTATTATAAACACTCGTCTTACATATGTTATGTGATTGCGTTGTATTTATGCATGTTAACAAGACAATGTACATTTGTATAAGTCTAGTAATAAAAGTTCTTTATATTCTGTTTTAATAGAATATGATAAAAAAAATTCTTGGACTTTCCCAGTACTTGTGAAGTGTGTAATCACGTTTATCTTACTTTCAATCTTACAACTGTTCTTTTACAGCGATTTATTATTATTCTAAATATAATTTGTACATTATTTGTACATTTATAACTTTGTAATATGAGTTTATCGACTTAAGTTCTATTCTTTCTATTCACAGGTTTATGTAAGCCGAAATATATTGAATCTTAAATATAAAGAATAGATTACATATACTTACCTGAACGCAATACATGTATTTGATTTTTTTTTTGTATCACTTACTTCCTTGTTGTTGTTGTAGTTGTTGTTATTGTTGTTGTTGTTTATGATCATTTTTGGTATTTTTATAATGACACATTATAAATAAGGTTTAGCGAAACTAACGTTAGAGAAATTGATATTTAAGGGGTGAAATCGTTGTTTAAAAATTGAAAGTGATGTTCACGAAAGTTATGTTTAAGAAAGTAAAACTGTTTTTGAAGAAAGTAAAAATTTACGTTAAAATGTACACCTTTTATTAAAGGAAATGAAACATTAATTTTCGCAGCGAAATTAAAACGAATTGAAGAATTTAAATATCCATATAACTGATATATTTTCAGACAAACTGCCAGATAATGTACAAAATAGAACGAAGTTTTTCAACTTGCAGTATAAGGAAATGTTTCTCCACGAGTATCTTCCAAGCCTTTGTCATCTTGATATTCATGTGTATTTGTGAGTATTTACAATTGTTTGCATATTAACTACTATACACCAACAAGTATATACCATTGACATACAAAAAACGCCCGTCTTTTTTCAGTCCAGTTGTGGTGAACATTTACATTAGTATCCCTATCTTTCGATTTTTTGCTGATCTGTGAGCTTTGCATATGACCTTCTGACAGGGACCTGAATTTTTCAAGCATATAATGAAATAACCAAATACATGTAGGAGTTTTGCTGCCGACAAGTTAACCTTTGATTTCTTAATATGACCTTAACGTTTGACATAGATACATTTAGCCGGATTCATAAAAGCCCTGGTTAATGTGCGCGACAGTACGCCTCATGATTCCGAGCAATTCTTTAAGTAATGAAAAAATGCATCCATGCATACAGGAGATATGCACATGAAAAAGTCTGGAGATATTGTTTCTAGTGTCCTTGACTCCATACACTAGTTTAGACTTGGATTATGCTGGTAACACTTAGTCTCATGATTGTGAACATTTGTAATATAATGTCTCAATTCAAGGCATCTTCCTTGTCCGTACACTCATTTTCATATTTTTATCCGACATATGACCTCTACATATGAACTTGACCTTGGTCTCAGGGATCTGAATATAATAAGTGAATATTTGTGACGAGTTATACCCGAGTAATGTTATACGAGCTATACTAAAAACATTGCACATAATGTGAGACCTTGATATTTGTACTAGAGACTTGATACATGCTTGAAAAACTGCGTCATGGTGGAAAACATTTGTATAAAGTAATAGAAGAATCACTTCATGCATATAGAAGATATGTCCCGGAATAAAATGGACTAAGCTCGTCCGCGTGCCTGCCAGATGCGACTCGATTTCATTCTTGATGTTTTTCTTTATTTCTTCTTTTTATCTCCAAACGGGCGGATATACATCAACGTAATGACATTTTGGCATATAATTACTTATATAATCAAAACAGCTACCAAAGTTGGAAAGGTGCACATTAATTGTCATAGCATAAATAATGATTCCTATTATTACTATGCATATATTTACACGTTCTGTTGTCGAATAATAATATATCATTCATTAAAAGTCTAGGTTTGCTGTAAATGCTATCCAAACATAGCTAAATGAGACATTGACATGGCTGCACATATTGTACCTAGTAAAGATAAAATAAACCAAAATATCAGCAAAATAGTTGAATGTGTTTGCCATGTTAACATTCCTGTTTAAGCTGATTTTACTCTATTTTGCTTTACAGTGTATACACTTAGCCTTGTGTCCATGAGAGTTGGCACCGGTGACGTCATAACAGTTGGACCATACAGTGATCAGTTTTTGATACCAGACGACCAACAACTTGAGCGGTTATCGGATAGCCAGCTTGTGGACATTTTCACAAAGTAGGTTTTTGATAAGTTTATTTAAAAGACAGAACAAATATACCAGACTTAATTATAAAAATAACAAATGTAATCATTTTTGAAGAAACTATTAACTGGTGATCGATGTTCAACATGCCTTTCACCATTAACCTGTTCGTAACAAAAGGGTCAACCTTGTACCTAGTATACAGCCAAGCATTTGGCCTGCATTTCAGGACAGTCTGACCAGGGACAGGGTCTATTTATGTCGGTAGCTCACTTTGGTATTTCAACATTGAAATATCTTAAAGGACTTCACTGATGTTTTTGACATGACGGAACAGGAACTATTTTTTCTGAATTAATGTTCAAAACCTTGTGTGCAAAATTTCTGATCATTCACTCACTACACTTTTCCAGAATAATTATTCTTATTGTGAAAATTGACCCAAAATTGAAAAGCGTTACAACGCTTTTCACTCAAATCGGGCAATGAATAGCACAAAACTATGATGTTCAATTTATTTCTGTGTGTATTTCTAAATTATCATTTGCATGCATTCCCCCAACTGATTAATATAACAAATTGATTTTTTATGCTATTTATAAGCTTTTGGACCTCAGAGGAGTTCTTTTAAGAGTCGGAATGGCTGTTCAGAATTTATGGCATAGCAAATACATTACCCAACATTCAGAAATTGAACCTATTACTTGTAGCAGTATATTAAATACTAATAATCTTTTCTCTCAAAACGAGTTTCTTTGATTCTTTCATAGTGATTTTTCTGCTTATAGATCTTTTAAATAACAAGAAATGTCTTAAGAACTCCGTAAAGAGACGTTTCAGTCCTTCTTATAGTACAGGACAAAAGGTTTAGACCGCTCGGTCGACACTTTTACGCAGCTAGGCCGCCGACTTCACACATATATAAAGTTAATTTAGTTCTTAATATTCATGTTCAGGTATGATATGTATTCTTTATACACTAGGTACATCAACTCGTTCCAAATTATGTGCAGGAATCACAAGAGGACAGGGGTAATAACTGACGGGGGTAAGGAAGTATGCGTTGACGAAATTATCCGCCCGAGATCACCGTGCCTCGTTTATTCGTTCGGGTAAAACATCAACATTTTTCTTTCCTTTTAAAAAAACATCTTTCCGATTGTTACAATTTTACATGATGTCACTCCATACCGTTTAAATAAGACGGAAACCAAAAACTGTTAAATTTTTCAACAAATTTACAGCGCCATAGATCCAATGATTATTTTATTTTGACGAATTGACAAAAAGTGAGAGAAAAAAGTTTTTTCCTGCTGTGGTCATTCATGGACTTAAATCTGTGAATTCGTAATTTTTAGCTTGAACGTCTTCCAAGATAAAATCTAGAACTGTTTTATGAAGTGACAAAGTGAATTTCGATAATTGCACATATTCGAAATTTTCGAATACTGGAAAACAGTATGTAAACCAAATACATGTATTATACAAAGAGACCGTTTCCAAGATATTGGTCTACATATGCAAATATCAGCCTTGCGGTTGCATCGTTGTACTTTCATTTGCATATTTATCTTGATGTGTGTAGAAACCTCAATATCACTTCCGCTTCTGCGAAACATGTAAATCGAACTGGTAACAAAATGCACATTCTTGATGATTTTTTGGCAATTCCTAGACAATGCTTAGAGCATCAAACATTTATCAGTTACTTTTTTAGACAGAAAATGTTATACTTTTCAGTGAACTTAAAAGAAAATTACAAATAATAAATAATACAATTTGCATACATAATTCATTCGATTTGCATCTTTTGCAGAAGTCCTTATATACTGAATAAAAATAAATGTGAATAAAAATTTTTGCAGTTAAATAAGGCCTAATGCTTTTGTGATTTATTCCAACCAGGGGAATAACAGTGTCCTGATAAATAAAATTTTGCTTTGAATAAGTTCTCAGAAAGAAGTAATCAAACTTTCATTCAACTTTCATCACCGGAAGTTGTCTGCTCTATACAATATTTACAAGTACACTTTAAGCAATTTTACCACTCATATGATATAAAAGAAAGGCATTTTAAAAATATCAAAATTTTATTTTCAAATAAATTTAAAATACAAGTACATCCGGTTCGATTTACATTTTCTAGAAGATGGAAGGATGAAAAGAAGTACATACATGCTGCATTAGACGGAAAAACAATAAAAATCGAAGTCAAGAAAGAGTGAGCAGAATTTCGTTCTTCTACACACTTTGTTTACCCAATATTTTCATAACTTTTCTTTGGCCATATATATCGTAAATATATTTTTGTTCACATAGATGAGATCTGTCTAACAGTCACAATCATTAACAATTAAATGTGTTTGGGGCCATCAATCTAAATATCAAATAATTGAACAGAAGATTTATTGACACGAAGTTTAAACAAAGTTGGATATCTCTCTCCATGTTAACATTGTACATGGATTTATATATTATAAAAGTAAAGTCATATAATTATAATTATTGTTACTTTTTTAGAATTTTATTTTTATTTTTCAGTTCAAACAACCAGTTTGACTTTGAGGATAAAGTAATCAAACAATTTGGGTGTGAAGTTTTAACCTTTGACCCAACGTAAGTTAATTTTTTTATTATCTTTTTTAATTAATTTATACATATAGGGTTATTTAGATATATGCTTGACTGTATTTTGCCTAAAATTTCAGCTATATTATTTGTTATAAAGATTTTTAAAGGTTATATGACCCTGTACAAACGGTTGTTTCTATTACTTAGTATATGTATATTAACGATTCCCTGCTGTATTTTATGGTTTTATATCTATAGGATGGAGTCATTGGATAAAAAAGATATGAGAATTCCACGTGGTTGCAAGTTCTATGAGAAAGGATTGGAAGGTGTTAATATGCCGGAGAAAAACCTGTTCACACTTGGAACAATTCTACAAGAATATGGACACTCTACGGTAAAAAGTTTTAAAGTTTTTAATGATTTTAACGAAATCTATAGGCTAAATTTTCATTCCTACCAATTGTATTTTTAGCTTGTAGTGGTTTTCTTTATTTTTCTGCTGATTACACCATAAAATATCTTAATTAGCGCTAAAATGTACTTATTTTTAAAGGAACAATATGCCTAAGAAACGATGTGCGTGAAGTTAGCCAGACAGCCGGAACAGCCGGAGCAGCCGGAACATATTTTCGTTTAATCCGGTTGTTCCGGCTACTCCGGCTAGCCGGAATCCGGTTCTGGCTGAACAGGCTAGCCAGAAATGATACAGTAAAACCTGTGCAAAAGACCATTCATTTATTTCATGATGTATTTTCAAATTCCTAATCACATCGATATCTGGTTCTTCAGGCTAGCCAGAATAACCGATATCAAGTGTACTTCAGATGAAAAAAATCAGATATATTCCTAAAAAATGAGCGTCTTCCATTCTTCCATGGTGTGTCCGGGTGTCCGCGGGTATAGGTGTGTCCGTCGGGAATACTCTGGTATTTTGCCGACGGTGAGCCGAAAATCGTACTATACAGGTCATATCTGGCCAATTCCGGCTGGCCCCTGTGGGGACCAGACTCAATTCCGCAGAACCGCATATGGTGGGATGGTTAGGGGGTCTGACCGGGTGTCCGCGGGTATAGGTGTGTCCGTCGGGAATACTCTGGTATTTTGCCGACGGTGAGCCGAAAATCGTACTATACAGCTCATATCTGGCTGATTCAGGCTGGCCCCTGTGGGGCCGTAGAACAGCATATGGTGGGATGGTTAGGGGGTCTGACCGGGTGTCCGCGGGTATAGGTGTGTCCGTCGGGAATACTCTGGTATTTTGCCGACGGTGAGCCGAAAATCGTACTATACAGGTCATATCTGGCCAATTCCGGCTGGCCCCTGTGGGGACCAGACTCAATTCCGCAGAACCGCATATGGTGGGATGGTTAGGGGGTCTGACCGGGTGTCCGCGGGTATAGGTGTGTCCGTCGGGAATACTCTGGTATTTTGCCGACGGTGAGCCGAAAATCGTACTATACAGGTCATATCTGGCCAATTCCGGCTGGCCCCTGTGGGGACCAGACTCAATTCCGCAGAACCGCATATGGTGGGATGGTTAGGGGGTCTGACCGGGTGTCCGCGGGTATAGGTGTGTCCGTCGGGAATACTCTGGTATTTTGCCGACGGTGAGCCGAAAATCGTACTATACAGGTCATATCTGGCCAATTCCGGCTGGCCCCTGTGGGGACCAGACTCAATTCCGCAGAACCGCATATGGTGGGATGGTTAGGGGGTCTGACCGGGTGTCCGCGGGTATAGGTGTGTCCGTCGGGAATACTCTGGTATTTTGCCGACGGTGAGCCGAAAATCGTACTATACAGGTCATATCTGGCCAATTCCGGCTGGCCCCTGTGGGGACCAGACTCAATTCCGCAGAACCGCATATGGTGGGATGGTTAGGGGGTCTGACCGGGTGTCCGCGGGTATAGGTGTGTCCGTCGGGAATACTCTGGTATTTTGCCGACGGTGAGCCGAAAATCGTACTATACAGGTCATATCTGGCCAATTCCGGCTGGCCCCTGTGGGGACCAGACTCAATTCCGCAGAACCGCATATGGTGGGATGGTTAGGGGGTCTGACCGGGTGTCCGCGGGTATAGGTGTGTCCGTCGGGAATACTCTGGTATTTTGCCGACGGTGAGCCGAAAATCGTACTATACAGGTCATATCTGGCCAATTCCGGCTGGCCCCTGTGGGGACCAGACTCAATTCCGCAGAACCGCATATGGTGGGATGGTTAGGGGGTCTGACCGGGTGTCCGCGGGTATAGGTGTGTCCGTCGGGAATACTCTGGTATTTTGCCGACGGTGAGCCGAAAATCGTACTATACAGGTCATATCTGGCCAATTCCGGCTGGCCCCTGTGGGGACCAGACTCAATTCCGCAGAACCGCATATGGTGGGATGGTTAGGGGGTCTGACCGGGTGTCCGCGGGTATAGGTGTGTCCGTCGGGAATACTCTGGTATTTTGCCGACGGTGAGCCGAAAATCGTACTATACAGGTCATATCTGGCCAATTCCGGCTGGCCCCTGTGGGGACCAGACTCAATTCCGCAGAACCGCATATGGTGGGATGGTTAGGGGGTCTGACCGGGTGTCCGCGGGTATAGGTGTGTCCGTCGGGAATACTCTGGTATTTTGCCGACGGTGAGCCGAAAATCGTACTATACAGGTCATATCTGGCCAATTCCGGCTGGCCCCTGTGGGGACCAGACTCAATTCCGCAGAACCGCATATGGTGGGATGGTTAGGGGGTCTGACCGGGTGTCCGCGGGTATAGGTGTGTCCGTCGGGAATACTCTGGTATTTTGCCGACGGTGAGCCGAAAATCGTACTATACAGGTCATATCTGGCCAATTCCGGCTGGCCCCTGTGGGGACCAGACTCAATTCCGCAGAACCGCATATGGTGGGATGGTTAGGGGGTCTGACCGGGTGTCCGCGGGTATAGGTGTGTCCGTCGGGAATACTCTGGTATTTTGCCGACGGTGAGCCGAAAATCGTACTATACAGGTCATATCTGGCCAATTCCGGCTGGCCCCTGGGGGACCAGACTCAATTCCGCAGAACCGCATATGGTGGGATGGTTAGGGGGTCTGACCGGGTGTCCGCGGGTATAGGTGTGTCCGTCGGGAATACTCTGGTATTTTGCCGACGGTGAGCCGAAAATCGTACTATACAGGTCATATCTGGCCAATTCCGGCTGGCCCCTGTGGGGACCAGACTCAATTCCGCAGAACCGCATATGGTGGGATGGTTAGGGGGTCTGACCGGGTGTCCGCGGGTATAGGTGTGTCCGTCGGGAATACTCTGGTATTTTGCCGACGGTGAGCCGAAAATCGTACTATACAGGTCATATCTGGCCAATTCCGGCTGGCCCCTGTGGGGACCAGACTCAATTCCGCAGAACCGCATATGGTGGGATGGTTAGGGGGTCTGACCGGGTGTCCGCGGGTATAGGTGTGTCCGTCGGGAATACTCTGGTATTTTGCCGACGGTGAGCCGAAAATCGTACTATACAGGTCATATCTGGCCAATTCCGGCTGGCCCCTGTGGGGACCAGACTCAATTCCGCAGAACCGCATATGGTGGGATGGTTAGGGGGTCTGACCGGGTGTCCGCGGGTATAGGTGTGTCCGTCGGGAATACTCTGGTATTTTGCCGACGGTGAGCCGAAAATCGTACTATACAGGTCATATCTGGCCAATTCCGGCTGGCCCCTGTGGGGACCAGACTCAATTCCGCAGAACCGCATATGGTGGGATGGTTAGGGGGTCTGACCGGGTGTCCGCGGGTATAGGTGTGTCCGTCGGGAATACTCTGGTATTTTGCCGACGGTGAGCCGAAAATCGTACTATACAGGTCATATCTGGCCAATTCCGGCTGGCCCCTGTGGGGACCAGACTCAATTCCGCAGAACCGCATATGGTGGGATGGTTAGGGGGTCTGACCGGGTGTCCGCGGGTATAGGTGTGTCCGTCGGGAATACTCTGGTATTTTGCCGACGGTGAGCCGAAAATCGTACTATACAGGTCATATCTGGCCAATTCCGGCTGGCCCCTGTGGGGACCAGACTCAATTCCGCAGAACCGCATATGGTGGGATGGTTAGGGGGTCTGACCGGGTGTCCGCGGGTATAGGTGTGTCCGTCGGGAATACTCTGGTATTTTGCCGACGGTGAGCCGAAAATCGTACTATACAGGTCATATCTGGCCAATTCCGGCTGGCCCCTGTGGGGACCAGACTCAATTCCGCAGAACCGCATATGGTGGGATGGTTAGGGGGTCTGACCGGGTGTCCGCGGGTATAGGTGTGTCCGTCGGGAATACCTTGGTATTTTGCCGACGGTGAGCCGAAAATCGTACTATACAGGTCATATCTGGCCAATTCCGGCTGGCCCCTGTGGGGACCAGACTCAATTCCGCAGAACCGCATATGGTGGGATGGTTAGGGGGTCTGACCGGGTGTCCGCGGGTATAGGTGTGTCCGTCGGGAATACTCTGGTATTTTGCCGACGGTGAGCCGAAAATCGTACTATACAGGTCATATCTGGCCAATTCCGGCTGGCCCCTGTGGGGACCAGACTCAATTCCGCAGAACCGCATATGGTGGGATGGTTAGGGGGTCTGACCGGGTGTCCGCGGGTATAGGTGTGTCCGTCGGGAATACTCTGGTATTTTGCCGACGGTGAGCCGAAAATCGTACTATACAGGTCATATCTGGCCAATTCCGGCTGGCCCCTGTGGGGACCAGACTCAATTCCGCAGAACCGCATATGGTGGGATGGTTAGGGGGTCTGACCGGGTGTCCGCGGGTATAGGTGTGTCCGTCGGGAATACTCTGGTATTTTGCCGACGGTGAGCCGAAAATCGTACTATACAGGTCATATCTGGCCAATTCCGGCTGGCCCCTGTGGGGACCAGACTCAATTCCGCAGAACCGCATATGGTGGGATGGTTAGGGGGTCTGACCGGGTGTCCGCGGGTATAGGTGTGTCCGTCGGGAATACTCTGGTATTTTGCCGACGGTGAGCCGAAAATCGTACTATACAGGTCATATCTGGCCAATTCCGGCTGGCCCCTGTGGGGACCAGACTCAATTCCGCAGAACCGCATATGGTGGGATGGTTAGGGGGTCTGACCGGGTGTCCGCGGGTATAGGTGTGTCCGTCGGGAATACTCTGGTATTTTGCCGACGGTGAGCCGAAAATCGTACTATACAGGTCATATCTGGCCAATTCCGGCTGGCCCCTGTGGGGACCAGACTCAATTCCGCAGAACCGCATATGGTGGGATGGTTAGGGGGTCTGACCGGGTGTCCGCGGGTATAGGTGTGTCCGTCGGGAATACTCTGGTATTTTGCCGACGGTGAGCCGAAAATCGTACTATACAGGTCATATCTGGCCAATTCCGGCT